TCCTGGACTGACGTGAAGAACCTAGAAGACCTGGATTTCGCCCGTGAATGATTTATGTTTGATGTCACACAAAATCGAAGACTCACAAGCGAAAACCGACAAACTGATGGAAGAAGCAGCAAAGACAGGACTCCAGGTGAACAAAGACAAGACGGAGGTTATGAAAACAACCAACCAACGACATCAACAGCAGAAGCAGCAAAAGGTAGCGCCAATCACCATCAACGGGAGGGATTTGAAAGAGGTTACTTCATTCACTTATCTAGCTAGGGAGCATTATATCAACTACAGGAGGAACGGACGAAGATGTCAAATCGAGAATCGGGAAGGCGAGAAACACATTCATCAACCTGAAACAACCAATCTGGAAATCTTCGTCACTCAGCAACACTCAACAACAAAGTGATTCGGATTTTCAATACAAACGTCAAGTCAGTCAGTTCTTCTATACGGATGGATCAGAAACTTGGCGGCGGGTCACGAATAATAATTCCAACAGCCTGTTGCACACCTTTATCAACAACTAACTGTCTTCGCTCTATACTGAGGATCAGATGGCCGGAAATAACGTGAACCAACAAGAAACTATGGAAACAAACAAACGAAACAAGAACCACTAGCTCAACAAATATGCAGGAGGAAGTGGAGATAGATTGGACACTCACTGAGGAGACCGCTGCTGGTGAAATCGCGCATCATGCCATCGCTCGAGTGGAACCCGAAAGGGAAGCGGCGATTGGGCGTTCAAGGGTGACATGGAGGAGATCGTGTGAACAGGAACTGAAACAGTATGGATTAACATGGATGCAAGTGAAAAATACAGGAGAAGACAGAAGCAAGTGGAGACGTGTAGTTGAAGCCCTATGTTCTATTAGGAACCGAAAGGAACAACAATATTGTAAATAATGACTGTTTCTCATGCTTTAATACGAATGATGTTCTTAAGTCTCTTCACTCTCTCAAACCTACTCAGTCCCTTGGTCCTGATGGAGTTCCTGCTGTTATCCTCAAGAAGTGTGCCGACATCTTATATTCCCCATCAACTGACATCTTCAACGAATCTTTCTCCAGAAGTATTACACCTGACCATGGAAAAACATCAAGGTTGTTCCAGTGCCCAAATCAACAAGTGGACCTACTGTCAAGTTTAGACCCATTGCTATTACCTCACCTTTTTTGAAAGTTATGGAAAGACTTATTATACTTAATCTTGAACCCTGTTTAAAGCCTTTCAATGACCCCAACCAGTTTGCTTATAAACAAAGTAGGTGTATCTTAGATGCCGCTGTTGTTCTATATCATAATATAGTCTCTAGTTTAGATAGAGGAGCTAAACACGTTCGGTGTGCCTTCCTTGATTACACATCTGCATTTAACTCTCTACCTAGATCTCTCTTCCTAAGTAAGCTTGCTGTAACACAGACTGAGAGCTGGACAAATAAGTGGTTGCATTCCTATTTTTCTGATAGGAAGCAGTACACTGTCTACAATGGAAAGTCTTCCACTACCTCACTTACTTTAGCTGGTGTTCCTCAAGGTGCTGTTCTTTCTCCTTTTCTGTTTTCTTCTTTCTTACATGACTTGCCCCATACTGATGTTGCCACTTTTATCAAGTATGCTGATGACCTCTCTGTCTCCATGCCTGTCAACTATCAGTCAGATTGTTCCAAATTTAATTACTTTCTGTCGGAAATTAGTCAGTGGTCCTCTTCAAACAGTCTTAAGCTAAATCCGTATAAATGTCAGGTAGTCAATTTCACTTAGAGACGAAAACGTGACCTACAACAAGTAGCTAGCTAGCTCACATGGTCCCACTATCATTGACGGCATAGAGGTCGAAATTACATATAATGTCAAGTACCTTGGACTGAGTATTTCCTCTGATCTTTCCTGGTCCTCTCACATCTTGCTAGTGACTAGAAAGATGTTTCGCTTAACGTTCTACGTTAGGAAGTTTAGGCAGTCTAGTATAAAGCAGTCTTTGCTTTCTCAGTTTGTCAATTCTTGTGTTTGCTACCCATCCCTCTTTACTGCTCCCCATTAATCTTTCCTGGACTACTTAAGAAAGATTTTGCTTTGCTGAGAAGGGCACTAAAAGCTGTTAGTAGGGGAAGTGGGATTTCGTTAAACCAACTGGTTAACACCATTGTGGATAGACATATAATGTCATGTAGGAAACTAGCGAATACTATATTGTCAGACCCCGAATATCCTCTCTATACGAAGCTCACTCCTTGGATTTCATCTGGTAGAACTAGAAGCAACTATAGGAGGCTATATGCTAGGACTACCAAGTACACAAAAACTCCACAATACCTTATCTGGCACAGCTGTTATTATGTGATGAGAAATCCGTTAGGTATGACACGATCAACTTACTGCGGCACTCTAACAAATAGTCCCCATTAGCTTTTGTTTTCCTTTCTTCCTTAATATTATATTGTTGCTCACATATTCTATTACACACTAATTTTATATTTCATATCCTGTGGTGCATTTGTTAAAATGTGAATGCAATGGTGTTCTCTTTTATTTCTTTTCTTTTTCTTTTCTTCTTTTTGTTGTTGCTGCTTTTTGATTTTAAAATCTTATAAAATTTATGAGGTAATTAGATGCAATATTGTAATGCGCGCTGAAAATTCCATACCTGTACCACAAATACTGTTTGGAATAAAGCTGTTTTTATTATTATTATAGAATAGTCCGATGATTTTCAAGACATGTTTACGCAAACGACTCAAAGACAGAAGATTACCAAGGAGTCATATTATTCGAATAGCAGTCACAGACAGATCAACAGCCTGTTTTGTGATATTCAGTCAATATCAAGAGGATTGCAGATCAAAAAAGAAAAGAACTCAGTCACGGGTAGTGAACTTAATTGATCAATCAAGATTGTTAAGTGTATCCCCTCATAGGCTAAAGCATAATTATAGTATATTTTAATTGAATTTTAGATTTTCCCGTAGATTGATTGATTGGACCGAATTGCTCGTCGGTCTCAGGTTGACATGTCGGCGTCTTGTGCAGATGTGCATCCTAGATTCCACTGCTAGTCTTCACCATGCACCAGTTAAATTCTAATTACATGCCCAGAGACATAGTCAAAGCATCTGCAAAAGAAGCCATCAGACATGTCAACCTGAGACTGACGAGCACTTCGGTCCACTCAATCAATCGACGGGAAAATTTAAAATTCAATTATATTAACATAACCCGTTGCACAAGAGGTGGCTCTGGCGGTCCAAGTGGTCTAGCGGATAATGCTTTGACTGGTGTTTGAAACTATGGGACACTGGTTTCAAGTCTCGGTAATGGGAACATCACCACTGACTCACTCACTGGGTCATGCAGCTACATCCAGCCAAAGGACGAGTCCTAAATAGGACCGGTGAAATGCGCGTTATCCTGGACTGAACTGGATTCCACTGCTAGTCACCATCCACCAGTTAAATTCATAATTATAGTAATCATGAGTGTAACTCCTGTTAAAAGTGGCAGAAAAGTCAATTAGGACTCCTTAGTATCGATAGAGTATTACTGACGTAATAGGCAGTGAATGTAGGTGATGAAATGAACACGTGGGTGAGTGATGGCAGGGTTCAAACTAGTAGTCACCAAATTTCTGGTCCGCCTCTCTAAATTATTCAATCGCTAATTCTGTCACCATACCCAAATGTCCCGTGAAGCAGCAATGCATTACTGAGCGTTCATCAACACACCAACCGCCAAGGCCATCATTCATTCTCTCGTCAGTGAAATTAATCATAATGGTGGATTCGACACGGAGAAACAAGATGTTTCACTGATGGTGAGGAGACTGTCTAATATGCATTGAGTCCTACTTACAAGAAAACCATAAAAAGAAAAAAAAAGCATAAAAAGAAATTAACATAGAAAAAGTACTTGGACGGGACAATATACACACTTTCATAGCTTCGTTCCCATCAAATACAAAAGGAATTTAGTGAAGACCCTTAGCCACAGAGTCAATTAGAGCTATATGCTCTGAAGAAGTAATTAAAGATGAATTAAACATTGTATATGATACTTTAATTGAAAATGGTTATCCTGACAAGTTTATCAAGAAACATATGACGAAGAAGGCCGAAAAGGACGTCCCACTATCTGTAAACAAGAAGCCCCTTTATATACGACTACAATTCAAGGGCGATAAACCAAGTGAGTTAATTACAAAGAAATTAAGAAAATCAGTTCAAAGGACTTTTAATGCTGGCGAACTACACGTATTATTCTCTACAAGACCGATGGTACTACCTTTACTGAAAGATAAAGTACCTAGACTAGCTGGCCACTTCAAATTGTATTTATCAATTCAACTGCGCTTGTGGAGCGAGTTATGTTGGCCATCGCTCTAGGAACTTGATTTTTCGTGCTCACTCGCTCGAGAACATATCCCACTATGGCTAAGTAAAGGTGTAGATAAAACTATTAACAGCTCAATATTAGACCATCTGGTGCAAACTGGCCACAAAGCCAGCGTAGACGAATCCTTCTCCATAATATACCGGGTGCCTAACAAACTACCAAAATCGTCGAAGCACCGAATGCTCCTCCAAACAGCAGAGGCTATTGCAATTCGCCTCAAACAACCAGTGAGTGCTCTGTGTCCAAAAGAAACAATTTCATCCCTTACTACTGCCCTGGCCCTCAGTAGAGACTATAAACTCATGAATTTGTACTATTATCTTTCATAATTCTTCTAACATTCAGTTTATTGTTATGTTGATGCTGTTCAGCTGTAATCCATCAATATTATTGATTTGATGTTATTTAAACAGCAGCATTAATGTCGTTCATAAGACTAATTCATTCATTCATTATAATGCATATATAATTGTAGAACCTGATGATGAATTTATCGAAAACAGTTCTCTTTATTCCGTGTCTATTCTTTTGAAAGTTATAATTATTATTATATTATTATTATTGTTATATTAATATTATTATACTATTATTGTTATACATGAAAAATATAACACAACAACAACAACAAGCCAACTGAAGTTTTATTCTCGAAATCGCCAATCTTGTCTACACAATGGACACTGTTGAGCCATCTGTTGACTATTCAACCATTTTATAATACAATGCATATGAAAACAATGATTACATTGACCCCAGACAAGTGGGCAGTCGTCACCGGGAAGTTTACAGTCAGCACAACACGTTTCAAATGCATTTCGACAGATCCCACAATCATCATCATTTGTACACCATTTCCATGAGGAGACAGCAAACCAATGATTAATCTGAAAAGCAAGTAAACAAAGCAAAAAAAAGAATGAGAAAAGAATATCAATGATCACTTGACGAGTCCCAAATAGGACTGGTGAAATGCGCGTTATCCTGGACTGGATTCCATCCACTGCTAGTCACCATCCACCAACAATTTAAATCTGAAAAAGAGTCTTTTTGATATGGTTGTGTTCTCTGAGCTAAGTGGATAGATAGTTAATTTACGAAGCTTTCATCGCCCCACTACTAGGCGACATCTTCCTTCAGCGCATACGCTTCAATTTGAATTGAAGTGAGCTTTTAGATTACTCTACGAGTGAGTTTATCAATCATCTCTCCTGGTCGGTGACCACCTTGGACGTGATTGATTGCTTTTGTGTGTTTTCACACCTTCCAGTCTACTTGTATTGATATTGGAACTAATTGTTTCTTTGACGTGAACCTTGACCCTTTGTGTTTGTGAGGTTTCCTTCTTATCGGTTGATAAATTTTGTCTATCTCGATGTGTAGATTGATTGATGATTCACTGGAATACCAGGTAGGCTTCTAAAAATTCTCTGGCTAGCATTCTTGGTGTTGTTTCCTCTGTCTAGTATTTGGACGCTGGTTGTCCTAATTGAATTGATACCCGTGGTTGTCTGTATGTAGTGATAAGAGGGAGTGAATTTCATGTCTTTTGACGGCTAGCTTATGATCGTGGATACGAAGACGAAGAGCAGGGACGTCCACTTTGGCCGATGTAGTGTTTTTCCCACTTGTTACATTTTATTTTGTAGATGCAGACGTTGCTTTTATCTTCTTTCTTTGTTGAGTCTATCTTTTGGTTAACATGGACCCAGCCACGTGAGTGAAGTGATTTTGTTGGTCTGTGTGTGTGTGTGACGTCAATTCCTAAAGGTTTGAAGAGCGTTGCAGTGATTTCTCAGATGTCGTGTTTTATATATGGTAGGACGATTTTCTTCGTGCTTTCTTTGGAGGCTTTTGGTTTGATAGGTTGGCTTGTTTGCAGATGTCTTTTGATGAAATTCCGTGGATATCCATCCATTCTTTTTGAAGACGTCCATGAGATATCTTTCTTCAATTCTCATTAAGGTGGGAGTCCTTATTTATTTATATTTAAGTCATTTTTGATGCTTAAATTTGAATGAACTCGACTTCTGTTCATATATGGTGAGAGCTGGCTGCTAGTCAAAATTAGTAGACAGTAATTTACGTCACTGTTTATATCCCCAATATTGGTCATGAGAAAAGAAGAACAAGAAAAAAAACTGACTCAACCAATAACCAATCACAGCACACTTTGTTTGCGTAGGTGGATACAATTTGCAGATAGATAGATGACCTGACCTTCAAGAAACAGTCACAAAGAGAAACAACCAATCAGAAGCCTGTGTTTGTTTGCTAACAAAAATCTATAATAAGGTACATGAAAATCTTCTATAAATATGTGTTGATTTCCTAAATAAAGGCGATCTGTTGCCTGGCCCTTACACATATGTCAAACCCCCTCCTAGCACGGACATTTCGATAATGTCTAACCGGAGAAATAATGTTGTTTGGTGGTTCATGGTACCAGTTGGCGGTAGAACTAACAATGCGTTATGCCGGAGTACATCTGCATGCCTAATAAGCGGTGGTCGTCTCCTGTCTGAAACTTGAAACTAGCACCTGTCGTATCAAATTCTACGGTGTTATATATTTAAGTCATGAGGACAGTCTGATGTGCATCTAGTAGTGAAGCATTTAAAACGACGACAGTTGAGCTGAGTTCAAGTCTTAAACGGAACAGTATTAGTTACAGGATTTCATCATGAGCTGACATTGGCCAGAGAACCATTGGAAAATCTGGGAGTACTGGACAGCTGTTTCATCCTAGCCTGGGACTCTTCATCAGTACGCGCCCACCGGGGTTCGAACCCAGGACCTTCTCGTAACAAGGCGACCTCGTATTCCATTGGGACCTTAAGACCCTATCTAATGACCCGTGAATTCTAACTTCTGCCAGTGGGTGCGTACTGATGAAGAGTCCCAAACTAGGATGAAACAACTGTCCAGTACTCCCAGGTTTTCCAGCGGTTCTCTAACCAATGTCAGCTCATGATGAAATCCTGTAACCAATCAACCAAACCCCTGCAAACCAATACTTGAATAGGAACAGTATTAATCGCTAGGATTGCAGATGCAGGCAGATAAGGAGTCTGGAAGAAGACGAAACATGAGTCGTAGATTCTACCAGTTACCACCACCACCAACCATATAATAAATAACAATTTTGCTGATGATAATGTCCAGTAAAGAAAACGAAAAAAATGGCTGATCCAATACTTTACCGCTGATGTATCTGCTTCATTCGGTATTAGATAAACTAAATTGTTTTGTTTTAAAAGCTCCACTGGCAGGATTGATCCTTCAACTGACAAAGCATGTTTCTAATTGAGTTTGTGGTTGGTTTGAATTCCAGCCACTTTTATTTCTGCCTACCTTGTTAAGAATTCTGCGTAAAGTGGTTTCCGAGGTTGCTTCCATGTATGGAATTACTACTGATGATTTAGATTCCTTATTGTTGGTGTTGTCACTATCTTGCGCATATTTGACATGCATTATTCATTTTATTTTTACATTCCCTTAAATATTTCCAGACTAATTTATCAGGGTAATTATTAAGCTTCACTTCCTGTCTTAGATTTTCCTTGGTACTACTAAGATTGTGTGCCCTGTTGTCACTTAAACATTTCATCAATCCTATTTATACTGACATAGGATGGGATGATCGAAAGTCCAGATATCTGTTTGAATGTATGGGTTTCCTGTAAACACATTAGTGTTTAACTTCCCATCTTTTTTCCTTTTCACGCTGCAATCTAACATCGAAAGCTCTCCCGCTACCTGACTTTCCAATTCATCATAAGTGAATTGAATTGCCTCCTACTTTGAGTTATTGTGTTCGAAAAATCTATCTACATCCTGTGTTCTAAGTACAGTGAATGTTTCATCTACATACCTCCACCATATTTTGGGGTTAGTGGGGGTGAACGTTTCAATCGCTATGCTTTCCCACTTATCCATGAATATTTATTAGGGATATTGGTGATCCCATGGCAACTCCTTCAGTTTGTTTGTATATTTTCCCTTGGAGGAATTCAAATACTATCGAAGTCAGGCATAGCAAGCTGTACTCACAGCATTATGTTGTCCTCAAGTGCCACTTTCATCCTAAGTTCCAGTTCTTGGTCAGAAATGAGTTCGTTTCTAATTGCCTCTATATTGCCATATTTATTATAGGTATACGTGTATATAAACTGACAATGTCAAAACTAACCATTTTTACTCTTCATTATCTAATTTTAAATTATCTAATCCATCTATGTTTTAGTTCATAAGAATTTGTTAGTCTTGATGATTTTGAGTGGCTTTTAAGGGGGGATTTAATATCATGGCTAAATATATTTAGATAATTCATAAGTAGGTGAATTTCTAAAATCAACTATAGATCTGTTTAATAGGGTATCCTGACTTATGAACATTTTAACAACACTACACATCCTACTGGGTGTTATTAGTTTTGGGCATTAAATTAAACCACTTAGACTCACCTAGAAACGGCCTCATTCGGTTTCTGCTTTATTTCGTTATTTAATGCTATAGCTAACTGCTGTACGAATGATGCAATACGCCTGATATATGCGCTTGCAACTACATTGATTGTGAATATAATGGACTAATAAATAAAGCTGTTGCATATAGGTTATACACTTCCTAAAAGTTCTAAAAGTTGAACACAGAATCCCGGAACAAAATCCTATTTTTGGACGTCTTAGAGTCAAGCGAACAACCACAGAGGAATAAGGAAACTCAAGTTTATAGAAAATCAATTCACACACAGACCAATCCAATAACACACACACAAAAGGAATTGCATACAAACACTATTCAAGAGGGTCAGCCAGTCAGGAATCATTGCAGCACTCCCACCTTAAGGAAAATTAGAGAAAGATATCTCATGGACGTCTTCCAGAAGGAATGGATAGATATCCACGGAATTTCATCCGGAGACATATACCCCCAAGCCAACCTATCAAACCAAAAGCCCCCAAGAAGAAGCACAAAGAAAATCGTCCTACCATATACATAGAGGATTTCTCAGAAATCACTGCAACACTCTTCTAACCTTTAGGAATTGACATCACACACACACAAACCAACAAAATCATTTCACTCAGCTGGCTCCATGTCAACCAAAAGACAGACTCAACAACGAAAGAAGATAAAACCAACATCTGCATCTACAAAATAAATTGTAATAACTGTGAAAAACACTAACTACATTGGCCAAAGTTGACGTCCCTGCTCTTCGTCTTCGTATCCACAGACATAAGCTAGCTATCAGAAGACATGACATCCACTCCTTCACTCATATCGCCTCACAACTAACGTTCAAATATTAGACAGAGGAAACAACACCAAGAATGCTAGAGAATTTTTACAAGCCTACCTGGCATTCCAGTGAATTATCAATCAATAGTCACATCGAGATAGACAAAATCCGCAAAACTGATAAGAAGGAAACCTCAAAAACACAAAGGTTCAAAGTTCAAGTCAAAGAAACAATCAGTACCAAGACAAGTAGCCTAGAAGGTGTGAAAACACACAAAAACAAGCAATCACGTCCAAGGTGGTCACCGACCAGGAGAGATGATTAGTAAACTCACTCGTCGAGAAATCGAAAAGCTCACTTCACTTCAAATTGAAGTGCATGCACTGAAGGAAGATGTCGCATAGTAGTGGGGCGATGAAAGCTTCGCAAATTAACCATTCAGCCAGCCAGCACAGAGAACACAACCAAATCAAAATCATCCACCTGAGCTACAAATCTTCTCCATCATACAGATAGTACATTTGTGTGTGTGTGTGTGTGTGGGCGTATTGGGAATTCTCCATTGACTGTACAGGTATAAGAGGTTACAGGTGTTTTAACCACTGGGGGTTGAGACGGAACACTTCCCTCAAACAAAAGACGCATCCATCCTTTAAATTAAAGCAACAACACACATACACACACACAATGAGATCTGTTCAGAAACTTTTGGCATAAAAAAGACTGAATAGAAAAAAAATCAATATCACTAACCTTAAGTTTTAAGGGTGATGTAACGCCATTCAAGTTTTTCGCGGCAGCTGTTTGAGAATCGACCATCTGTAAAGAAGTAAAACCTGAGCTTAATGTAAGTTGCTCGCACACACACAATTCTAAAATAAAACGGCACAAATCAATAATGAGCACAATGAGAAGAAAATTCCTATTCAAAAGTTGTCATCAAAGAAGGATAGGGTGCTATTGCACAGCGACAGATGATTACCTTGACGTGATGGTTAGGCTTGCCTATGGTGATCACCTAACAGGCTATTCTAAATGTAATGAATATTCATTCGTGGGCAAGGTTCAACAATAGCGTCTCAAGGGATGCGAATGCACACGAGTGACCTACAGCCGACCAATCATAGAAATGAGGAGATTTTGCACAAAAATTATTGATATATATTTTAAAAGAAAATGCATGAAAACACACACAATAAACAGGATATCTTTCTCTGGCATGACTTGAAAATACGTCCCAGTTATAGAGAGGAGTATCAGTTGCTAAGTAAGACTAGTTTCTTTACATGTATTTACCGAGGTGAATGAAGATGAGCTGTGTTTTGTGAATCGTTTATCTCTCTTATTCAGTTGTGCAGTCTTCCTCAAAAGACGCCCCCCCCAACCGGTTGAATTACTATGGTTTCCAGTAAGAGGATTGACAACTCTACTTACTCACAAATGTGGGTGAGAAAACTGTTTTATCATTTATTATAATTTGCAAATTTAAAAAATAAATGACATCAACTCTAAATCTATCCCTAATCGTTACACTTACCTTAATCCTGGTCCTAATGACAACCCTTATCCTTACCGTAAACCTAACCCTGATCCTAACCCTAACTCCAATACTTACCTTAGCCATAATCCTAAGCCTAACGAGCTATTAACAAATTCATGTATAATCCCCATCCAGGCATTAATGAAAACAAAACACTTAGATCAGCGAAGAGTCTCTTTTCGGCGAATTCATCTTCTTAGCTGTACAATTGCAAATATATATGTGTTACTTTGTATGTATATGTACATTAAGTTTATCAAACAAAAATAGACAATTGTTTATGGTTATTTTAACTAAACAGGTGAAGATTGGTAATTGGAGTTACGTAATACAATACGTACAATACAATACGTATCATCTGCTTTGTTCCTATGTGTATCCTGAGTAAAACTCACTCATCAAACTATTCATATTATTACATAACTTCTTTCAACAACTTTTTGTGACAACTCATCACCTTTGTTACTAACCTAATTTCACTAACACCTAATTTTCTTGACTGATTTTGTATTACGTAACTCCAATGACCAATCTTCACCTGTTTAGTTAAAATAACCATAACCAATTGTCTATTCTTGTTTGATAAACTTGATGTACACATACATACAAAATAACACATATATATTTGCGATTGTACAGCTAAGAAAATGAATTCGCCGCCGAAAAGAGACTCTTTGCTGATCAACGTGTTTTGTTTTATTAAAAAATTGTTCAAACAATACTTGAAACTGATCTGGGTGAAATTTGCTCCTACGTCGGTGAATACCACATTGATATTTCTTTCAGCTATTGATAATGACAGGTGCCGTTAGCCAACCGACTAGTATGTAATCAAGGTCATTGGAGAGAGAGAGTTCACACCCCTTGGATGCTATTGTCGAACTTCGCCTATTCGTGAAGGAAGACCTTATCACGCTAGAAAGGTTAGTTGTACAGACTAGAAGTGGTTTCCGTCATTGTGTAGGTTACGCATACACACTATGTTGTAGATTTGATATCAAAGTCATGCTGTCGTAAAACCACCAGTAAAATGTTCTCCTCGAACGACTACTACTACTACTGCCTAGACATTCTGGAAAGGAAGGGTTAGAAGCGACATAAGTATTTCAGGGAAACCTCGGAAACCACCTTACGCAGAATTCTTAACAAGGTGGGTAGGAATAAAAGTGGCTGGAACTCAAACCAACCACAAACTCAATTAGAAACAAGCTTTGTCGGTTGAAGGATCAATTCTGCGGAGCCTTTAACCGACAAAACAATTTAGTTTATCTAATACCCTGCAATCATTGTCAGGTCAAATACATAGGTCAAACTAGTAGAACAGGGTCAATGAGTCAGACTAAACAAACATAAAAATCCAGCCGTAAAATCTAGATTGATTGACCCGAATAAGATAAGAAATCTAGAGAATAGTTCAGCCATAGCACTCACTACATCCAGTTACACACAACCATAAAATAGGCTGGATGGGATAAGATGACAGTTTGAAAATCTAATGTCACAGGATGGATGGAGCGAGGGAGAGATGGATAACAACGGAAGCATTGTTTATCGAATCAATTGAGACTGGATTCGTCTGATAGGAATGATTCAACAGGTGTCCAGCCAGATATCTGGAAAATTCGACTACCTCAATGACGACGACATATATGAGAGAACAAAAGAAAACTATAAAACTCAAGTTTCGAAGTTGTGTGATTATAACTGATGAGAAGAATATGAATAATAAATTTTGTTCGCAACTTTGTTATCCAGTAAATACTAATACTGTTTCACTGACTGTGTCGAATATCTAATAAACAAACTAATATGGAATAGACATGAAGATTTCCGGGGAAGGGGTTCGATTTCAGCTGTTGACATTCAATCCATCATGTTCGTGTGAAGTTGGAGCAATATATTGTCAGTGATTTAATTTAGTTAGATGTAGTCCTCAGTATACAGGGAAATACACTGAGTGACGTTGTGAAGCCTTTTGTGGATTCAGGTAGTTAGAAAATGTGTTTCGAGTGCCAAAGACATCCGGTTTTCTCATCAAGAAACTTATTTGAATAATAGATTGGAAATTGGAAAGAAATTACAGGATGATGGCAACAAGTCTGTCTGTCTGGATTCAACATAGAACTTGCCACCAAAGTGCACCACTTCGAGTTGTCACGTTCCAAAGAGCACACAAAGGTAGACAAGAAGATGGATGAGTGATGAAGAGAATCAATAGAGTTTTGACAAGTATAAGAGTGAAATAGAATGAGTAATGATGGAAAGGAATATGAAAGATTACACAACAGACTGAATACATCTGCGTAAGCCATTGACAACGATTTTGAGCCGTGCATGTCACCTATTGTCTGTCTCCAGCCATTGATTCTAAAGAGTCCCGAGGGCGGGCCCCAACCCGGAAGTCTGCATCTCCCTCCCTACCTGACTGACTCAGTTTAACTGTCAAGGATTTCATGGATTGATGAGGCCATGTTTTTGTTTGGCCACCACTTACTCTTTTCCAACCTGCACCTATATCAGCTAGTAATGCCCGTCGGGAGGGGGAGCCGATGGTTAGCATGCGCAGCACGTGACCTAGCTATCTCAATCTATGTAACTTTATAGCCTCTTCCATTGATTTTCCCTCTTTACCCAACACTCTACGCCTAACGTCAACATTACTTACCATATTATACCACCTAACGCGAGAAAGATATCGTAAACATCTGTGGTCAAAAACAGACAATCTTTTCATGTCTTACGCTCTCAATGGCCACGTCTCACCGCCATAGGGAAGGACGGAGTGAACTGCTGAGCAGTACATACGTCCCTTGGTTGATAGTCGGATGTCACGCCTACACCCGACAGAGATGGTGTAAGTTAGCGAAAGCAGCCCGAGCTTTTTGGATCCGTGCTGAGATTTCGTCACCAATCAGTCCGTTGGTGTTGATTGATAGCAACAAGGCATTAGTGCTAACCCCTTCCCAACTGTTTGTTGATTTAGGCCATTTATGGTGTGAAGAGTTCTTGGCATGCTAATATCCAATGGTTAAGAAGATTTGCTAGAAAAATTCAAATGAATTGTCTGTCGTCAAGATCTGACAGAATAGTTCTAAAATATAATTGGGCGCCGAGTGAGAAGTAGACATTTGTAAAAAATTATTACATTTGTAAAATCTCAGCGAGATTGAAATGAGTAATTTCAACGTTTCCTGTGTTCGACAATCTGATTCGAACTTCTTCAGGGAAATTAATCGAAATTAACATAACAGAGGTTTATACATAAAAAAGGGGACATCACTTGTTTTTAAAAACTTTGTCCAATCATGAGTCATGAAACAGGTATCAACCAGTTTAATAAACAAAATTTTATGAGCTGTGGTCAAAATTTGATCTCGGACTTACAAATATTGGTCTACTTTTTGTTAAACACTTTAAACAGACTGTGTATGTGTAAACAGTTGTAAAACATTTCTTAACGTCTCCATAAGAAGATATGGACAGTCGAGAATTTTGACCAAGTATTAATAATTAGTGATACATATCCATTTTTTATTTATTAATCAGGATTTCCTATGCATCAGCTAACATCACACCACACCTTCATGTCTGTTCAAACTGTTAGTATATCTAGAATTTTATGATTAGACGTATTTTCAAAATAATGGTGTTTAGGATTACAGTTTAGTAGAAGCACCCTGTCGAACTTATTGCTTTGTCTTCTTCTTTCTGAAGATTGAGCTGCTTTATTCGACCTACTGGGAGTTGTCAGGTGACAACAACATGTTGACAAACAGGGCTTAAAATCTTTCACAGTAGTGTAGATATCAAAAACTTCTGGCTATCGTTCACACATTCTGAAATTGCTTATTAATCTCTATCTAATTATTATTCTTTTTCGCATTAGATTTTCATCTATCGCAATTTCACTTAAATTTCCTTTTGTGATTTTTTATATATATGACAATTTCAACTGATACACTGTTGTGTAAAGTTCTACACAGATTTCGAGTGTTCACATGGATCAGACGTTATGTTATTAGGCCTTAGATATTACTGTATAATAATCTTAAATTATCACAATATCTATAAAAAGAATATATTTATGTTACATGGAGGATTTCATCATGAGCTGACGTCACTTAGAGAACCACTGCCAGACAGCTGTTTCGTCTCTAGTTTGGGACTCTTCATCAGTACGCACCCATCACCATGGTTCGAAACCAGGACCTTCTGGTTACAAGGCCAGTGAGCTCGTAGACTATTAAGCCAATGGGACCCGCCAATCCAATATTATATTAATGTTAATAAACCAAAAAAGCGAAAAAAGGACACTGGTTCGTTCAGTGGTAAAAATGATCTATCTGATTAAAGAGACGCAGTCTGGAGTTCAGTTTCCAGATGACGCACTTCAAAACCTGGTCTACATTATTCACTAATATTAGATATGGTTGATATGTAATCACATGATGTCTGCCCATGTTTTGCCAGTCTGATTGGTATATCTTGCTATATGTTTATTGATCGTTATTCCATGATAACTCACAATATATCGATCTTGTCTGTCCATTAACCAAATAAACAAAATGTATCACCTTGGTCGCGTGACATTACAACCAATCAGAATCCAGTTGGTGGTGGTAAGAAAAACTACTTTATCTGTCTTCTGATTGGTTCATGTGTGTTGGTCTGGTTATTTTCTATATATACTCTTGTATTGTACAAATAATTTACACACTTTTGTACTTCGGTACTGTTCCGCTCACACTTTTGTGTGACAGTTAATCTTCCTTGTTGGGAAACGCTTGTATCCATTAGTGAAAGTGGTGGTGGTGGTCTCCTGATTTTCCTCTTCCGTGTCAGGACAAATTATCTACTACTCAGCAATACCAGTCTGTACACCTTATCGTCCGTTATATCTCATTAGCGCGCATATTTACACTCGGTCACACCATAATATTGGCGACGACACCATAACAATGGTTAAGAGACATAAGGTTTGTCGTGTGGCTAACGATCCTACCCACTAAACACTAATACTGTAGTGACGGCTGGCTGCTGGCTAAAATTGGTAGACTGTAATTTACGTCAATGTTTATGTCCCAAATATTGATCATGCGAAAAAAACAAGAACAGAGACTGACTCAACCAACAACCAATCACAGCACACTCTGTTTGCGTAGGTGGATACACTTAGCAGATGGATAGATGATCTCACCTTCAAGAAACAGCCACAAAGAAAGCCGACCAATCAGAAGACTGTATTTGTTTGCTAACAATAATCGATAATAATGTACATAAAAATCTTCTATAAATGTGTTCATTTCCTGAATAAACGATCTGTTTCCTGGCCCTTGTCTTCTGTTGTTACAATACTACTGCTTAGTGAAGTTTCAAGACTGCAGTTCTATGGTTCCACTTAAGAGGCAAATGTATGCAGAGAAAAGAGTATATTGCTGAAATCGACGAAGACCGACATACACAGGCCACAAGCCTGAAGAATATTTGACCTTATATAGAAGAGAAATTTACTGAACTAATAATATGAGCGATATCAAAGATTCGTTGGATAATTTCATCTTGAGTTAACATCGATTAGAGAAAGCCATTGCAAAACCGGGGAATACTCGACAACTGTTTCGTCAGCCTAGTTTGGAACTCTTCAACGGTACGCACCCACCGCCAGGGTTCGAACCTAGGACTTTCTGGTTACAAGGCTAGCGAGCTCGTAGACCATTAAGCCACTGGGACCCGATCCACTGACCGATCCCCCATGAATTCTAACTTCTGCCAATTCATAAAATAGCGCGACCACTTCGCAATGTCTACACCAGTAGGGTACAGCAGGTCGGGTGAGGACAAATACTCGCCGAAGAAATTGGCTAGTGCCAGTCACGCTATGTCGTGAATTGGCAGAACTTGTAACTAGAAGGTCCTGTGTTCGAACCCTGGCAGTGGATGCATACTGTTGAAGAGTCCCAAGCTAGTCTGACGAAACAGCTGTCGAGTACTTCAAGGTTTTGCAATGGCTTTCCCTAACTGATGTGTCAGCTCCAACCAATTAAACAAAATCCCCCTCACAAAACCAAATACTTCAAAAATATCAAAATATTATTATTTCAACCTACCTGTAACTGTTGCTTCTCACTTTTCTTTTGCAAGCAGGTGAATGGGTGGTGGTGGTGATGGGGTTGTAAAGTAAAGAATATCCTATTTCACTTCGCTTATTTTCGATGCGTATTATTCAACTGTGTAAAAAAGAAGTTAAAAAGTGAGATAATTTGATTAGTGTGCAAAAAAAATTGTCGTTTTGAAGGCGATAATTCATCTCATCACACTGAAACACACAAAAATGTGAACAGATTTCAATGTTATTATACAAAGATTTAAAATTCATAAATAAATATAACACTGGCTGCCGGGTGGTGGGTGGCCCGGTTAACACACCGCACACATCATAAACAAGCTGCGTGCTACTGCTAGTGTACCTCCATGAGACACAAATATAGGGGTATCATGAAATCTTTAATTTTACATTCTGTGATTAACTGATATAAGAATCAAACTTGTTCACTGTGGTTGTGGTAGAGTATAATTCCATTATGGGTAAAATTTGTTTTGATAAAGTCTCACAGTGTTATACAGTGTTACACATTTACTGATGACCAAGTTTCGAGCACAATTTATTACTGCCACTCATAATCATCATATCAAGTCACTCACTCACTCACACAACTTTCTAACTTCGTTTATATAATTCCATCACTATTTTTCATCACCTGATTTGATTGGTAGTAGTGGTATTCTCCATATTTCCTGCACGAGTGATGAGCCATTCCTATTCCACGTGTTGAGTGTAGACTCGATTAACCAGCTAGGATTCAGTAATCAATCTCCCTCTCCACCTACCTAGATTACTTTTTAGAATCTTAACCCTCTCCTTCCCACCCTATCGTGTGGTTGTGTGATAGTGCATGCAGTGCAATGTAGTGGTGAGCTGTCTTCTAAATTATTTATCTTCTCGGATGGGATCAACCATTCTTGCCTTAGCTAAATTCTTATGTTCCGACAATCTGATTACCCTTGACAAATTAGTTTGACCTATGTAGGTGGTTGACCTGACTCACAGTCATTGCAGGGTATTTTGTAAATTATATTATTTTGTCTAATTGGGTCAACCGACAGGGTCCTTTACCCTACACAGCTTGCGCTCTCCAAGGGAGTTTGTAGGTTTGAATGGCACCAGCCTAATTCCAGCTCTACTAAGAATCCTACGTAGGGAGTGTCACAGATGTCCCCTCTTTATATGGTATAACAGTAGATGACTTATATTTTCTCTTATTTATGTTATCATTACTAGTTTCACAATTATTTTTAATTTCCTTTCAAAAACACTCGTCTTATTTCCCATCTGATTGTAATTGATCAATAACACTCATATTATTATTATTATTTCTGAATGTACATTATCCCATATTACTGATTTGTATTCAAATGTCTAATCATCAGTTCCACTCATGTATATAAATGAAGGAAGACGAAAGTTGTGTGAGTGAGTGAGTGACTTGATATGATGATTATGAGTGGCAATAATAATGAATTGTGCTCGAAGCGTGTGGTCACATCAGTTAATATTACTTACTGTATAACACTACACACACTGTGAGTGACAGTTTATCAAAACAGAAAATCTTATCCAAAATTGACTTATACCACAAGTTTTATACTTATATCAAATTCTGAAATGCTGAAATATTAGCGAATTGACGGTGCCTACTTATAAGTAGTAAAACAATAAATGGTAGAATAATTCAAACTGGTAATTGAAAAGTTTAACGAAGAGTCGTTCCCTGTAAAAAAATTTTGATTTTTTTCTGTTTTAAAATTCTCAATCTTTGATTTTTTCATTTTAATTTAACTTTTAGTTTGCTTTCCCTTTTATTAATTAATTCACTATTATCACTTTCATATGCTCCCTGATGTACATTTTCACACCCTCTTCACCCTTGTTCAATTGACACTCGACTACCACCTTTATTCTCACTACTCAATAGCAATTTTAACCTTCCTGATCGAATTTCTATCTTTGTGCTGTCGAGTACTACGTAATTTTCAACTTCTAATTTTTCACTTCTAAAGCCACTTCACGGCAATTATATCAATTATGTCACCTCCTATTACTCAATAATAATATATATATATATATATATATATATGTATTTGCGATTGTACAGCTAAGAAAATGAATTCGCCACTGAAAAGAGACTCTTCACTGAACACTACATGTTTTGTTTTCATTAAAAAACACGTATAATTAGTAAAGAGTCACGCTATCCGCTAATTAAATAAATCATTGCATAACGACTTAAAAAGACATTATCATATAGGGATGATTTGCCATAAACCAACTATGCATTTACAGGTTCTCGTAGCAAAGTAAAACCTTCCCCCCCACATTCTTTTAGAGCTTATGGTATCACTTAGATTTATAAATTAACGTAGACATTATGATTGATGGATATTAACTGCCCTATGCACTATGAATCCTCTATAACTACTGTAACAGCAGAAGACAAGTGCCAGGAAACAGATCGCTTATTCACGAAATCAACACATATTTACAGATTTTCATGTACATTATTATTATCGATTATTGTTAGCAGACAAACACAGTCTTCTGATTGGTGCTTGTTTCTCTTTGTGACTGTTTCTTGAAGGTCAGACCATCTATCTATCTACTAACTGTATCCGCCTACGCAAACAAAGTGTGCTGTGATTGGTTGTTGGTTGAGTCAGTCTTTGTTCTTGTTCTTCTTTTCTCATGACCAATATATTTGGGACATAAACATTGACGTAAATTACTGTCTACCCCAATTTTTGGCTAGCAGACAGCTCTAAACCACACAACGAATATCTTTGTGTTCCAGTAGGGAGCTGCCAGCCATGACAGATAGGATGAATACACTTTGACAACATAGGAGGATAGCGGTTGTGCTCGCTAACATGTCAACAATTAGCAAGGCCTTAGAATTCAACGTGAAGGTATTGCGCTCGACTCCAAGCTGCTCGGGTAGAGTCACGCATATTGCTAAGAAGTGTCAAACTAAGACGTATCAACTGTCCAGTAACTCACGCACTCTCTCCAAGTGTTGTTTGTTTGATGATTGGATGGAGGATTTTATCATGAGCTGACACTGGTTAGAAAAACCATTGGAAAACCTGCAAGGAGTACTGCCAGACAGCTGTTTCATCAGCCCAGCTTCGGACTCTTCAGCAGTACGCACCCACCGCCAGGGTTCGAACCCAAGGCTAGCGAGCTCGTAGATCACTAAGAGTGAATGCATCGGCACCAACCAGCGACAAAAAGATTTTAAACCATTTCACCAATAGTCGTCAATAATCATTGGTTCTTCGCATCCCTCTACATAATTCAAACTAACATTCAAGACTTCATGGATTTGATGCCACGCTTTTTGGTTTGACCAAGAGTTATCTAACATTGCTCATTGATGATGTAGGCAGTGGGTTTGTTATGTGTGACACATATACCCCCCCCTAGCCGTCACAATCGAGGTAGCTGCATATAGCTAGCTGTACAACCTCATCGATTGACCCACCCCAACCCCACGGTCTTACCTAGCACTCAACACTTAGCCTCAATATATTACTCACCATATCACACACACACACAAAACAACCTTGACACAGGACAACAGGATGCTGGCTGGCTGGATTCAACATAGAACTCACCACCGAAGTGCAACAGTTCGAGTTGCCACGTTCCAAATAGCACATAAAGGTAGACAAGAAGATTAGTGAAGAGAATCAATAGAATTTAGACAAGTATAAGAGTGAAACAGAATGAGTAATGGTAGAAAGGAATATGAAGGATTACACAAGAGACTGAATACATCTGCGTAAGCCATTGACAACGATTTTGAGCCATGTCACTTATTGTCTCCAGCCATTGATTCTTAGAGTCCCGAGGGCGGGCCCCAACCCGGAAGTCTGCATCTCCCTCCCTACCTGACTCAGTTTAACTGTCAAGGATTTCATGGATTGATGAGGCCATGTTTTTGTTTGACCACCTGCACCTATATAGAGCTAGTAATGCCCATCAGGGGAGGCGATGGTTAGGCATGCGCAGCACGTCACCTAGCCATCTCAATCTATGTAACTTTATAGCCTCGTCGATTGATTTTCCCTCTTTGCCTAACACTCTACGCCTAACCTAACGTCAACATTACTTACCTTATTATACCACCTAACGTGAGAAAGAGATCATCGTAGACATCTATGATCAAAAACAGTCAACCTTTTCATGTCTTCAACCCGTATTGGCCATCTTTCAGAGAGCCATAGAGAAGGACGGAGCGAACTGTTGAGCAGTACACGCGTCCCTTGGTTGATAGTCGGATGTCACGCCTACGCCAGAGACGGTGTGGTGTAAGTTAGCGAAAGCAGCCTGAGCTTTTTGGATCCATGCTGAGATTTCGTCACCAATCAATCCGTTGGTGCTGATACAACTTCCCAAATAGGTGAAGTGGTCAGGAAAGTAAACATCTGTGAATTGACTGACCCCACATACACACATATATAGCACCCGCGTGATGACACTTGAATCAAAAAAAACACATCAAACAAACAAACGAACAAGATAAAAGAAGACAAATAAAATTTATTCTCTAATCACTATCTATTTGATCCATTGTTGTATGAAAAAAGATGAGACTTTATATTACAAAATATTCAATATTTGTACAACACACATTTAGAGACAGAGAAATTATCAAAACAAGACAAAAATAATAATAACACTAGACTGTTTTCTTTTCGTTAGTAATGAACTCCTTGTACTTTTGTGTGTTTCTGTAAATGCCCAAACAATGTGTCTATTTGTTGGCCATCTCTGAAGGGGAAGTATTATTTATTATTATTAAGGTTGACTAATATCGCTATGCTTATTGTTAACGCTTTCATTATTATTATTACCACATTCATTAAGTTTGTTATGTGTGACACATATAACCCCCCGCTAGCCGTCACAATCGAGGTAGCTGCATATAGCTAGCTGTACAACCTCATCGATTGACTCAACCTAGCAGCCACCGAACCCCACCCCAACTCAACACTTCGCCTCAATATTACTCACCATATCACACACATACACACACAAAACAACCTTGACACATGACAAACAGGTAAGGAAAGATCTGTGGATTGACTGACCCCACATGCATATATAGCACACACACACCCCACCAGATGACACTTGAAAAGGAATACATCAAACAAACACTATAAACTGTCACATAGTAATATTTAACTGACGACATCGTTTCGAGCACAATTCATTATTGCCACTCATAATCATCATATCAAGTCACTCACTCACTCACACAACGTTTTCCTTCATTCATTTATATTCATGAGTGGAATTCATGATTAGACATTTGAATACAAATCAGTAATATGGGATAATGTACATTCAGAAATAATAACAATAATAATAATATGAGTGTTATTCATCAATTACAACAATGAGATGGGAAATAAGACGAGTGTTTCTTTTATAGTCATAATAAGTGAGTAACTTGTTAGAATGTTGTGATGATGTACGTGAATTGAATTGAAATAGAATACAATTTAAGATTATTTATTATCCTCCTCTGATTTCACTGACTGACTGACTGACTGGTGGTAATAATATCTTCCATGCATATCTCTGGTATTTGCATTCAGTCATTTCTGTTGCATGTGTTGTGTTGTGTGTAGACTCGATGAACCAGTCAGGATTCAGTAATCAATCTCTCTCTCTGTCTCCACCTACCTATGTCACCTTTTAGAATTTTAGCCCTCTTCCACCATGCCATTGTGTGGTTGTGTAGGTAGGTGGAGATAGAGAGAGATTGATTACTGAATCCTGACTGGTTCATCGAGTCTACACCCAACACAACACATGCAACAGAAATGACTCAATGCAAATACCAGAGATATACATGGAAGATATTATTACCACCAGTCAGTCAGTCAATCAGTGAAATCAGAGGAGGATAATAAATAATCTTAAATTGTATTCTATTTCAATTCAATTCACGTACATCACAACATTCTAACAAGTTACTCACTTATTATGACTATAAAAGAAACACTCGTCTTATTTCCCATCTGATTGTAATTGATTGATAACACTCATATTATTATTATTATTTCTGAATGTACATTATCCCATATTACTGATTTGTATTCAAATGTCTAATCATGAATTCCACTCATGTATATAAATGAAGGAAGACGAAAGTTGTGTGAGTGAGTGAGTGAGTGAGTGACTTGATATGATGATTATGAGTGGCAATAATAATAAATTGTGCTCGAAGCGTGTGGTCGCATCAGTTAATATTACTTACTGTATAACACTACACACACACTGTGAGTGACAGTTTATCAAAACAGAAAATCTTATCCATAATGGAGTAGTTATACTCTACCACCACCACCACAGAGTGCCCAAGTTTTAAAATTATATCAAACAAACAACCAGGCAGACGAACAAACCAAACACTCCGGAGGATGAGGGAGGAACAGGTGTAGTAAAAAGATGAAAAAGAAGACAAATAAAATATATGTGTATTTTCTAATCACTATCTATATTTGATCCATTGTTGTGTATGAAAAATGGGGGGAACTTTACAAAATATTGAATATTTGTACAGCACACATTTAGAGACAGAGAAATTATCAAAACAAGACAAAAATAATAATAATAACTAGACTGTTTGTTTTTTTTCGTTAGTGAAGTCTTTCCTTTTTTGTCTCTGTTTCTTTAAATGCCCAAACAGTGTGTGTGGAGTGTATTGGCCATCTCTGAAGGATTATTATTATTATTATTAAGGTTGACTAATATCACTATCCTTATTGTTAACGCTTTCACCTTTATTATTGTTATTATCAGTATTATTAATATCACTTTCATGTAGTTTGTTATGTGTGACACATATAACCCCCGTTAGCCGTCACAATCGAGGTAGCTGTATAGCTAAGCTGTACAACCTCATCGATTGACTCAACCTAGACCCCACCCTAACTCAACACTTGAACAAACATATCAAACATACAAACGAACACCATTATGGATAAGATTTTATTTTGATAAACTGTCACACAGTAATATTTAACTGACGACCTCGTTTCGAGCACAAACTATCATTGTGACTCATAATCATCATATCAAGTCACTCACTCACTCACACAACTTTTGCCTTCATTTATAGACATCAGTGGAATTGATGATTAGACATTTGAATAAAATCACTAATATAAGATAAAGTAAAGATTCTCTATCTACTATTGTGTCTATAAAATAAAATGCTTGCTTGGAATGTGGTGCGATATACATCGGAGAAAAATCGCTGGAGAGAAATCAGCGTAATCAGAAGAAATGAACACCCTAGATCTGCCTCTGGTTGACCACCGAGAAATCCGGTTCCACTATAGAAAAGCTTGAAAAGTCATCAGCCAGCCATAGCTCGTCTACACGCTATATTGAAATAATCCAGAAAAAGCATTTCAGAAATCACAAAGAACGTCTCATATCATCAAGTGGAATTCAAATTGTCTGAACTGAATAGGAGTGATGGACTAAAACAGAATCTGACCTGGTTACAACACCCTAAACCCCTACCCCATGAAGTGACAAAATCAACACGAATGTGATAAGCAAGTTCACTATGTAAACACACACACTGCTTTTATAATTTTACACACTGATCAAATCCAACAGTCATCTACACTTGGTTTTGTTATCTTTACCAATTGACCAATTTGACAACGAAAAATCAACCCAGACTGAGGAACGATGATCAAGTTAGCCAGGGCAGATGTACTATTACCTCTGTTATTTGGTTTAGTGATTGATCTTCATTGTTATTTTGACCTTCAATATGTCCTCCTTTTAACTTGACCTAAGTGTCAAGTCTATTTTCTCACCCACCTCTTAACTCTTTGTTATATATAATGCTGAGTGGATTTTGTAAATTCTTCTGGTTTAATAATACTACTTTGATAAAGCTATTAGCAGCAGCATTAAATAGCGAAACGTCGTAGTAAAAACAGCAATATCGTTTTGTTCTTTTTCATTCATTGGGAAATACAAAAAGAACCTTTATTATTATGAAGTTATACTCTACCACACCATAGTGACCAAGTTTTAAATTATATCAAACAAACAACCAGCGAACAAACCAAACACTCCGGAGGATGAGGGAGGAACAGGTGTAGTAAAAAGATGAAAAAGAAGACAAATAAAATATATGTGTATTTTCTAATCACTATCTATATTTGATCCATTGTTGTGTATGAAAAATGGGGGGACTTTACAAAATATTGAATATTTGTACAACACACATTTAGAGACAGAGAAATTATCAAAACAAGACAAAAAAATAACTAGACTGTTTTTTTTCGTTGGTGAAGTCTTTCCTTTTTTGTCTCTGTTTCTGTAAATGGCCATCTGAAGGATTATTTATTATTATTATTAAGGTTGACTAATATCACTATCCTTATTGTCAACGCTTTCACCCTTATTATTATTATCATTGTTATTATTATTATCATTTTCATTTACTTTAGCCATATCTAAGCCTTTCCTCTTAATGTACTCTTGTAATTGCGCATATTCCTCCGATATCTCACCATAGATATCAAATCGACTGGCTAATTCGCATAGATCATTTTTCTCTTTTTCTTTATCATTATCATTACCATTACCGCCACCAATTATATGACGTTCAGCAAGTATACTCCGGGCTAGATTCAAACGACTCGGCCCGGGATAATCTTTATCCGAATAGACTTCATCTGGCATATTCCACAGTAAGATGCCAACAAGACGTTTTTCTTTTGGTGTTAAATAAAAGACAACCCCTTTGGTGAGTCGTCCAAGATTAGCATCAGGAACAAGACTTGAGAAAGGTCGAGGTGTAGAAGTTGTTTTCTCCGTGGAAGTATCATTATTGTCATCTTCGGGGGAGGCGAAAAATCCACGTGTTAATAGTAGACGTGAATCGATCAGGCCAACTGCATCCCAGGACAATTCAGGGCCAAGAGTAGACCATAGAGACGACTGATGTTGATAATGCGATGACGATGCAGTTCTAGGCGGCGGTGAATTATTACCTCCAGATGTTAACAAAGAGGCAGCCATATTTTTACCAGCCAGCGATCCAGCTTCTTCAGCGAAATTGAGATGTTCAACGCGCCGTCGACAACCAACAATTGGATCCCAATAGGAGGCAGCATCACCGGCGACGTAAACACCTTGTCTGGCTTCTAGTTCTGCATTGACTAAAAATCCTCCATTATTCGGATCTACTTCTAGACCTGCCTCTGAAGAGAGATCTGTATTTGGATCGATGCCGATCTACAAATAATAAGCAAAAAAATATTCATTCAGACATCAATCTATCTATAAAACACAAAATATAATTGAGCCAGCAAAGAATATCCTTTTCGATAAATTCCTCCACCTCTGGCTCTACAATTAGATGCATAAGCATGTTTATATACACAGAATATTCTAGATTAGTAGTCAATAACAATATTGGCGTGTGCTTTTTAAATAATATCGATTTGTAAAGTAAGATCACAATGGAATTACCACAGTTCATTAAAGATGCTTAAATTATAATAATAACAAAGATATAGTAGCAAATAGCTGTGCCTTACAAAGAGAAGATAGGACTTCAGGTGAACATATAGAAAATAGAGTTGATGAAGATTCCTGGATAAGAACAACAACAACAGACAACGATCAGCATAAATGGGAGGAACCTGAAAGAAAAAACCTCCTTTACCTACCCACCCACCTGGGAACCATCTTTTCAACTACAGGCGAAAGGGACTGACGAGAATATGAAAGCAGCGAGGATTGGGAAAGCAAGACAAGCTACCATTACTCTCAAGTCAGTGTGGAGGTCAAGAGCACTCAGCATGAAAATGAAAATAAGATCCGGATTTCCAACTCCAATGTGAAGTCAGTGCTATTATACGGATCAAAGACTTGACCAGCGCGTCATAAAAAGCACCTCAAACAAACTAAAGACCTTCATATACAGCTAGATGTCTTCGCTCAATACTCAAGATCAGATGGTCAGAAAACATCAGCGACAGGGATCTCTTGCAATGAGCAAACCAACACAGCAGGAAGAAATGGAGGTGGATTGGCTGGCCATCCTCGGAGAAAACAAACCATCAAGTGAATGACATCATTAGACAAGCCATTACTCGAGTGGGACCCGGCCGAATGGGAAGCGACGAGGTGGTCGTCAGTGTAAGGGTGAGTGACTTGGAGGAGGAGGTCATGTGAAGAGGAGATGATGAAAGCATGTGGGTAGACTTGGTTGGAGCCAGGTGAAAACGTTAGCGGAGAACCGAATGCAATGGAGACGTGCGCGGCTGAAGAAGCCCTATGTTCCTCTAGGAATTAAAGGAAACAATAATAATATTTATTTATTTATTTACAAAAAATTCAAACAAAAAGGATAAAAAAGTACTTACAACACAAACAACATGATCCACATCAACTTCTTCGACTCTTTCAATTCCTGATACGCTACGACGAACACGCAAACGAACACGTTCAGAGCTACTTGTACTAGCGGCAACTGTTCCCATGGGGACAAATTTAGCCTGTTCTTTGACAGTAGCTTGTGTAGTAGTAGTAGTAGTATGTGTTTTGTTTTCGGGTACAAGTGACAAGCCGACAACATCTGAAGAACTCCACAACTCCACGCCTTTACTTGATTCAAAACGTCCGACAGCTGAAGCCAGACACGGTGGTAGTACACTGCTCATAGGGACTGTTTCACGGAATGCATGTATAACAGACAATTTTGATTGTATTGGATCTGGGGAATCCTTCGTCGTTGTCGGCGGCGTTGTTGTCGTTGTACTGGCATCTGTTGACTTTGGCGGTTGTTTCAATAAACTCACAGATAATTCACTACCAAGGAAACCACCACCGATAACAGCTATCCGACCACCAGTTTGACGAAGTTTGTCGGCAAGATCTCTGAGACGTCTGTAAAAAATTTTTAGTGATAAAAAGTAATTTAATAAGTGGGGATTCAGTCAAAAGCAGATTGGGCGGATTACATACACAGTATAATGTGTAAAGTACAAAAAGTATGAATACAAAAAAAATCTTTAATTGGAGGATGGTGACTAGCAGTGGGGAATTCAGTCCAGGATAACGCGAATTTCACCGGTCCTATCTGGTACTCGTCAGTTGGCTGGATGTGCGTGCATTCCCCAGTGATGATGTTCCACGCACCGAGGCTCGAACCCAGTGCCCATAGTTTCAAACACCAGCAGCCAGAGCGTTATCCACTAGACCACTTGGGCCACGAGAGCCACAGTCTCTTGTGCAACACGGGTCATCATCACTCACTGGGAGGGAAATGCAGGTACATCCACCAGCCGACTGACCAGTCAGTCCCAAATAGGACCGGTGAAATGCGCGTTATCCTGAACTGGATTCCATTGCTAGTCACCACCATCCACAAATTAAATTCTAATTAAATGCCCAGACATCGTCGAAGCATCTGCACAATAAGCCAACGGACATGTTAACCTGAAACCGAGCACTTCAGCTCAATCAATCGAAGGGAAAATCTAAAATTCAATTTTAAAAAAGCATCTCATAGGAATTATTAAGAAAAAGACGGTTACAGCGAGGAAGAAAATTTTCTTTTCAACGAAGTCACAATCAACTAAGGCTGTACATTCGTGTATTTCTATTAAATGTGTGAAAAAGTTCCAGAATTATTTCCCGTCAGAGGTCAGATTAATAAAATTATCAAGTTACAGGATTTTATCATGAGTTAACACTGGTTATAGAACCACTGGAAAGCCTGCAAGGAGTACTCGACAGCTGTTTTGTCGGCCTAGCTTGGGACTCTCCAGCAGTACACACCCACCATCAGGTTTCGAACAACACAGGACCTACTGGTTACAAGGCGAGGGAGCTCGTAGACCATTAAGCCGCTGAGACCCGATCCAAATTACTAAGTGTAATAAACAGAAGATAGGTAGGTAGTAGTGGTACTATTCTAGAAATATTTCATGTCAAAGGTCAAATTAAAAAGTTCCAATGTGTAATAATAAGGAAGATCGGGTAGAAAAGACAAAATAGGATTATTGTAATTAATGGAAAACTCATCAGTTTGTAGTATCGACGAAATCGGTAGGAAGTTCGGACATATAAAGATTTAAAAAAACAGTAATCAAATCTAATCTAATGCAGATAGAGGGGGATTTAAAAAGGTAAACAACATAACAGAAATAATCGGGAAGGTTGGACGAAAGAAAGGTAATAGGATAATCATTATTGGTGAGACTGACTTTTCATGATGGCCACGACAGGGACAACGGTTGAACATATTTCTTTTGGACACATAGAGTAGGCTTGGGTTTTTTTGGATCACCAGTGCTTCAGCCTATTCCTAGATGTCTTGATTTCACTCCCTTTGTTAGGTTTGAAGGAAGCTTGTATGTGGCTTTGAAGTAATTTTCAAACGGGGCTGAATATCCAGAATTAACCAAATGTTCTGCTTTCAAACTGTATACCCCTTTGCATTCTCCCTTTGGTAACCACCATGCTGGATAGTGTTCCCGTTCGCGTTTTACCAATTATTTCAGGGTTGGTTACAGGATTTCATCATGAGCTGACGTTGGTTAGAGAACCATTGGAAAACCGACTGGGAGTACTGAACAGCTGTTTCATCAGCCTAGTTTGGGACTCTTCATCAGTACACGCACCCACCAGGGTTCGAAGCCCGGTTGGGTTTTCAGGGTTAGCAAACAGAGAACAGAATTAAGCACCACTGAGATGACGAAAAAAACATTCGAAGATGAAAACGCTTATTATCGAAAGATGATCTCCACCGTGCACCAGCAGACAGCGTAGGAACTGAGAATTACTTAAATGATGATGATGATGTCAACAGATAGATGTAACGATAATCGAATAGACAGAGTTGCCGCAAATCCTAATCCTCAAAGAGGTCAGATCTAGACAGACTACGCGCTTAGGAAAGCATTATAAACCCGACTTTCCACGGTCAAGTTAGCATCACAACGAAGTTAGACATGACCCAGACCGACAACGCACACCGTTATGGTTTCCACTATACGGTTAGAGATCTCATCCATCCAACAGTACTTTTAATGGTCCACATTGTTAGAGGTGAGCGCAGGTACAGGCTCCTGTCAATATCTTGGAATTATATACGGTGCACTTAGACGGAGCAAAGAGTATAAAACACTCAAAGACAATCATCTGGCTGGCTGGCTGGCTGGCTGGATTCAACATAAAACTTGGCACCGAAGTGCAGCAGTTCAAGTTACCACGTTCCAAATACCACACAAAGGTAGACAAGAAAATGAGTGAAGAGGATCAATCAATAGAGTTTTGACAAGTATAATAGGGAAACAGAATGAATGAGTAATGGTAGAAAGGAATATGAAAGATTACACAAGAGACTGAATACATCTGCGTAAGCCATTGACAACGATTTTGAGCCATGTCACCTATTGTCTGTCTCCAGCCATTGATTCTTAGAGTCCCGAGGGCGGGCCCCAACCCGGAATTCTGCATCTCCCTCCCTACCTATCTGACTCAGTTTAACTGTCAAGGATTTGCTGGATTGATGAGGCCATGTTTTTGTTTGACATGGCACCACTTACTCTTTTCCAACTTGCACCTATATCAGCTAGTAATGCCCGTCGGGGAAGGCGATGGCTAGGCATGTGCAGCACGTGACCTAGCCATCTCAATCTATGATCCAATGACCCAACAAGCTATACTGACTGGAACTTATGTTCCTGTAGGTCCTACCATGCCAGAAAGGTTGTTTGGATAGCGATTAGACAAGAAGCAGTTACCCAACCCAATGCTATGACTCCAAATAAACCACAAAATATCATGCCGGATCGGTCGGGGCCCGGATTAACAACGACCGCGCTTCCTGCTGCCGTGTCACAGGGCAGAAGTGATAAATGTGCTACTGAGACACACCAAATGAAAAAAGACAATGATCGCTAATTAACTAACTGCGACTCGGGGGGCAGTCTCCAAATAACCTAGAATTATTCTTTATTCCTTAGTGAATGTAAGGTTGCATAACATTCAAAGCTATAAAAGTGAGATTGTTAATTGTGTCTGTGATGTAAACTATTACGGATTGTCTAAAAATTAGAAGCAGGTAGTTGTTATTATTGTTATCACACTACACTGTGTAATTTTTATTCACGCATACACATCTATCTCTCAGCCAGATGAGATTGCGTATACTTTTCAGCTTACTACGAAATGACTAGCGCAGCATTTGACCAGTAAGTAGGCAAAGAAAGAATCAAAAAAATATGACAATTGCATAAGAATTAAACACAGTCATACGTTCACTCAACAACAAAGGTTCGAATCCCATTAAGTGCGTACTGATGAAGAGTCCCAAACTAGGACGGAGGAAACAGCTGTCCAGTACTCCCAGTCGGTTTTCCAATGGTTCTCTAACCAATGTCAGCTCATGATGAAAATCCTGTAACCAATCAATCAAATCCGTACAAACCAATACTGGAATATCAATGAGATACTCACTGGCGACTGGCCCTATTCAGGTAGGTAGTTACCTGGGTGGGTTCTAGTGAGAAGTCGTGACCAGTAGGGTGCATCAGGTAGGGTATGAGGACAAATACTCACCGAAGACATTGGCTAGCGGTCGCGCTATGTCGTGAATTGGCAGAAATTAGAATTCATGGACGCTGGCCATTGGATAGGGTCCCAGTAGCTTAATGGTATACAAGCTCGCTGGCCTTGTGACCAGAAGGTCCTGGGTTCGAACCCGTTGTGAAGGGTGCGTACTGATGAAGAGCAGCCCCAAACTAGGACGAAACAACTGTCCAGTACTCCCAGTCGGTTTTCCAATGGTTCTCTAACCAATGTCAGCTCATGATGAAAATCCTGTAACCAATCAAATCCCTACAAACCAACACTTGAAAAACGTAGATGTCTGTGCTTCTCATCAGAATTTTCGCTCTACTTATCTGTTGTTTTTAGTATCATCTGATCAGAGTCTTTTGAACACCTTGAGAAGCAGCAATCTCCGAATGCTTGACATACGACCCGCTCCCGTCAAATTTAAGATGATGGGTGTACAGGACTGAATGACTGGACTACACTGACTCACTCCTAGCTTAGAAATAGAGAGTGAAGTGGTTTAGAGGAGCGTGTTGACCACTTAATTCACTTGTTTGGGGAGTTGTTGCATCAGCCAATGCCAACGGGTTGATCGCTGATGAAATCTCAGCTGGGTACGGCGGATACAGAAAAGGGCTGACTTGGAATATGCCAAGTTACACCATCTCTGGGGCTTAGTAGACGTGATATCCGGCTGCTTTACGATCCAAAAGCGTGTGTACTACTGACTCAACAGTCCGCTCCGTCCTCCTTTATTGTGCTGGCTATGAGATATGGTCATTGAGAGTGGAAAACATGAAAAAGGGGGCTAGCTAGCTGTCTTTGATCATAGGTGCCTGAGTTCTATCTCCCGTGTTAGTTGGTGGTATAATAGGTTGAACAATATTGAGGTTAGGCATCGGTCGACTGCTAGGTAGTTGGGAGGGAAAATCAATAGACGAGGCTGTGAAGTTACATCGTTTGAGATGATTAGGGCAAGTGTTACGTATGCCTGCGTAAGCATCACCTTCCTCAACAACGGGAGATGTTAGTTGACATATAGGGTCAGATTAGAAAAGAGCGAGTGCTGGTCAAACCGAAACATGCCTTCATCAGTCAATGAATGAAATCCACAACAGATAGTTTAAGCCAGCCAGCCAGCCATATAGGAAGGTGTAGACTGGCTTCCAGGTTGAAGAAGTCCTCGGGATGGTGAGAACCAATGACGGGGCTGGAGACAACTGATGATGATATGGCTCCAACTCACCGTTCTCAATGGCTGGCTGGTGCAGATGCATCCACTCCTTGTGACTTATACTATCCAATAAAACCATATAATGTGCTTCCATATAAATATTCTACATGGAGTGTGACTACTCGAATTGCTGTACATCTGTGCAAAATAGTTCTATGTTGAAACCAGTCAGTCAGTCACATCGCATTTTATACACTCCATGGAAGTCACCAAGGAGCTCTGAATGATGAATATATGCTCAAAATGCAGTTCATACTGCCGGAGTTTAACGAAACTCTTCAACGCAGAGGTTTCGAAGCTAACACCTCACAGAATATTGGTCTGTCTGTCTGTCTGGATTCAACATAGAACTTCGCACCAAAGTGCAGAAGTCCGAGTTGCCACGTTCCAAATACAACACAAACGTAGACAAGAACATGGATGAGTCAAGAGAATCAATAGAGTTTTGACAAGTATAATAGGGAAACAGAAGGAGTAATGGTAGAAAGGAATATGAAAGATTACACAAGAGACTGAATACATCTGCGTAAGCCATTGACAACGATTTTGAGCCATGCATCACCTATTGTCTGTCTCCAGCCATTGATTCTTAGAGTCCCGAGGGCGGGCCCCAACCCGGAATTCTGCATCTCCCTCCCTACCTATCTGACTCAGTTTAACTGTCAAGGATTTCATGGATTGATTGATGCCATGCTTTTGTTTGGCATGGCACCACTTACTCTTTTCCAACCTGCACCTATATCAGCTAGTAATGCCTGTCGGGAGGGGGAGGCGATGGTTAGGCATGCGCAGCACGTCACATAGCCATCTCAATCTATATAACTTTATAGCCTCGTCGATTGATTTTCCCTCTTTGCCCAACACTCTACACCTAACCTAACGTCAACATTGCTTACCTTATTATACCACCTAACGTGAGAAAGAGATCGTAGACATCTATGATCAAAAACAGTCAATCTTTTCATGTCTTTAACTCGTATTGGCCATGTTTCAGAGCCATAGAGAAGGACGGAGCGAACTGATGAGCAGTACACACATCCCTTGGTTGATAGTAGGATGTCACGCCTACCCGAGAGATGGCGTAAGTTAGAGAAAGCGGCTCGTGCTTTTTGGATCCGTGCTGAGATTTCGTCACCAATCAATCCGTTGGTGCTGATACAACTTCCCAAATAGGTGAAGTGGTCAACATGTTCTATCATTTCACTCCCTATCACTAAGCTAGGAGTTGATGTAGTCCAATCATTCCTGCAGCAGCATCTTACATTTTACAGGGGCGAATCGCATGCCAAACATACGAAGATTGCTGCAGCTCAAGGTGTTCAGAAGACTCTGCTGTATTTTTTCAGCATCCTCCCCTAACAGGACTATGTCGTCTGCATATTCTAAGTCCATAAGACTATTCGCTGGTAACAAGTCGATTCCTAAGTCATTAATTTCAGTTAAGGATACTTCCATTAGCATATCTATGATGAAGTTAAACAGAAATGGGGAAAGTGGACATCCTTGACGGACACCACTGGTTGTTATCAATTCAGATGACAATTTTTGATTGAACACTAGTCAGTAACTAGTGTAATGTGTCTAGTCCTATCTTCGGTGCAGACTGAATTCTATCAGTCATGTTTGCAATGTGGCCACCATGCTAGGTGGCTCGCCATTACGGTGCACTGTGAATTGTTGGTATTAGATGGTTGGAGGCAATCGGCAGGAAGCAAAAATGACTGATAGAATTCAGTCTGCACCGAAGATAGGACTAGACACATTGCACTAGTTACTGACTAGTGTTCAATCAAAAATATCCAATACAGCCCTACAGGAGGTCAGTCGCGAGCCCAAATAGCTCAGTGGTAACGTCTCTGACTGCAGCACTGGGTGACGCAGGTCCGAATCTCAGAAGGGACATCAGTTCCTTCAAGGTTGCAGATACGCCTTGCTGATGAGTGCCAACTAGCACGAAACCTAGGTCCAAGGATTCCTGCCGATTGCCTCCAACCATCTAATATCAGATGACAATTCCCCATAAGCCCTTACACGGCTACGTGAGTTTGAGTAGAGTGCATTGATTAGTGCAATGTACTTTCTTGGCACTCCCTTCACAGTCAAACATTGCCATAGTACCTCTCGATCCACGGAGTCGAAGGCCGCCTTCAAGTCAAGGAATATGGCAGCTGTTGGACGCCTAAAAGTGTGTCTATGTTCTAGGATCTGTCGGAGAGTGAAGATATGATCTATGCACCCTCTACCTGGCCTAAGGCCTGCTTGATTTTCCCTCGTTTGTTCCTCCGGAGTTCGGCTTAGTCTGTGCATGATTACTGAGCCTAAGATTTTAGAGACTATGTTCGTCAGGCTGATTCCTCTATGATTATCACATGAGGACTTGTCTACCTTCTTGAATATTGGTATGATAAGTGACTTACCCCAATCTGATTGAACCATCTCTGATTCCCAGACGTTACCTAGTTTGTAATTTAGTTAAACTATATACTAGTATGTCACCCCCATATTTAAACACCTCCGGAATAATTCCGTCGGGTCCTGCCGCTTTGCCTCGTTTCAAATTACAGATAGCTTTTGTGACCTCACTTACAGAATATTGGTACTGAAAAGATTCCACTCAATGAAATCAGAATCGGCGAAAATAAAAAAAAAAATTCATTCATGTGAATAAACATCGATTTTGAAGCAGAAGTTAGGAACAAATCAATAAGAAGAAAAACATTTTCTTTTCACCTACCGATAATCTGCCATATTACGGAAATATGAGACATGTCCAGTATCCGTCAAATCGATTCCAGTTCGACTGCATACTTCTAGTTCCTTCAGACGTTTTGGCGTGCCACCAGTGGCTAAAAGACATCGATCGTAGGTTATTTGTCGACCAGATGCTAAAAAGACTATATGTCTATCAGGATCCAGGCGAACTACTGGATCTCCTCGAACTAGAGCCACTCCACCGTATTGTACAGCGCTTAAACTGTTTACGCGAAAAGACAAACCAAAAAAAATAAATAAATAAACAAATTGGATAGAATGATTGGAACACGGTTGAACATTTTTTAACAATAATAATAATAATTTACTTTATTCCAGAAACAGTACTAGTGGTACAGTGTGGAATTTTCAGCACATATCTACAACATATTTGCATCTAATTTTATCCAACGTTTGAAAGGAGTGTTTCAAAAAAAATAAATATAAAGACAACAACAGCAAAAAAACACGAAAAACACAAAAATAATTTTTTAAATGCGAAAAACTGCCAAGAAGTAGAAAGGAAAATAAACAGCATATACTAATATCTCAGCATTGGGTTGTGGAAGCATTGATATGTTTATGCGTGGTGACAGGATAGCTCACTCAGCAACACTCAACAACAAAATTCGGATTTTCAATACAAACGTCAAGTCAGTCAGTTCTTCTATACGGATCAGAAACTTGGCGGTGGGTCACAAAGAATATTTCCAACAGCCTGTTGCAGACCTTTATCAACAACAACTGTCTTCGCTCTATACTGAAAATCAGATGGCCGGAAAGAACAAGAACCAACAAGAAACTATGGGAACAAACAAACAAAACAAGAACCAATCGCTCAACAAATATGCAGGCGAAAGTGGAGATGGATTGGACACTCGCTGAGGAGGCCGCTGGATGACATCGCGCGTCAGGCCATCACTCGAGTGGAACTCGGAAGGGAAGCGGCGAGTGGGTCGTGTCTCCAAGGATGACATGGAGGAGATCGTGTCAAGAGGAGTTGAAACAATATGGACTAACATGGATGCAGGTGAAAAGTACAGCAGAAGACAGAAGCAAGTGGAGACGTGCAGTTGAAGCCCTATGTTCCACTAGGAACCTAAGGGAACAATAATAATAATATAATCTCATATAATTATTCTAAACTACATTTTACTATATAATTGGTGGATGGTGACTAGCAGTGGAATCCAGTCCAGGAAAATGCGCATTTCACCGGTCCTATTTGGGACTCGTCTGCCAGCTAGTGGATGTACCTGCATTCTCCAGTAAGTCAGTGATGATGTTCCCCGCACCAAGACTCGAACCCAGTGCCCATAGTTTCAAACACCAGTAGTTAAAGCGTTATCCACTAGACCACTTGGGCCACGATAGCCACTTCTTGTGCGACGGATCATACTGACGGAGTCCCAAATAGGACAAAATACGCGTTCTCATAGACCGGATTCCACTGCTAGTCACCACCATCCACCAATTAAATTCTAAATAAATGCCCAAACATCGTCGTCGAAGCATCTGGACAAGAAGCCAATAGACATGTCAACCTGACACCGACGAGCACTTCAGTCCAATCAATCAATCGACGGGAAAATCTTTAAAAAAAATTCAATTATATATACATTTTACTATCACAAAAAATCCGTTGGGGGGGGGAGAAAGTCTTCAAAAGATCACTTACTCTTCTGGTTTTAAAAAGAAACTATCCGGTTCATAATAGAGCCAAGAGTGTCGACGTATATCTCCATCACTTCGTAGCAGCTTTTTTTCTTTACTCGGTGTTCGATTCCACAGCTCTTTACTCAGCGGTGGTCTTAAATACGGAGGTGGTTCTACATAAGAGGTTTCTTCAATCCCCGGTTCAGATGTTCTGCCTGATCCACTAGCACCGCCAGCAATCAATAAAACTCTCGACGTGGGATCTGAAGCGCGAATTGAACGAGCCGCTGACATTCCTGCGGCTCCAGCGCCAACAATAATGTACGGCACGTGTGTAGGAAATGCTTTGTCTTCTGGCTTAACATAGACAAGCGCCTCAGGAACTACAAGTGAACAGAATATATAAATAGAAAAATATCAGTTAGTACATGGTTGGATATCAATTGAAATGGCAATGTTATTCAAAAAAGTATGATGAAAAATTACAACGGAAAAGTTTATCGGATTTCATCATGGACTGACATTGGTTAGAGAAGCATTGGAAAACCTGCAGGGAGTACTGGACAGCTGTTTCATCTCAAAACTAGGAAAAAACCATGTTTATATACGATTGTACATCTTGATGATAAATTCGTTGTTGAAAACAGTCTCTTCGCTGAGTGGATCACTTGTTTTGATTTTCTAATTAGGTTTGCATGATTTAATTGTTGAGCGTCGATGTCGATTATTTTGGAACAGAAGCATAAGTGTATGTTATAATTGGAAATTTGTCAGCGTATGTATCATCTTTGCAGATGTAATCCCAAATATTATGACAAAATAAAAAAAAAACATACACCACTTCATTTTGGGAATGATTTCAATATATCTTAATTTAATCCTTCTTCCTCTTCTAATTTCGCCAAATACGGTGACTAACAAGGTTAGTGTATCTACATTAAAGCTATAAGTATAAAACTCGGGCACTGTGTTGTGGTAGAGTATAGCCACTCCATTATGGATAAGATTTTCTGTTTTGATAAACTCTCACTCACAGTGTGTGTAGTGTTATACAGTAAGTAATATTAACACTGATGCGACCACACACTTCGAGCACAATTTATTATTGCCACTCATAATCATCATATCAAGTCACTCACTCACTCACTCACACAACTTTCGTCTTCCTTCATTTATATACATGAGTGGAATTCATGATTAGACATTTGAATACAAATCAGTAATATGGGATAATGTACATTCAGAAATATAATAATAATAATATGAGTGTTATTGATCAATTACAATCAGATGAGAAGGGAAATAAGACGAGTGTTTCTCATATAGTCATAATAAGTGAGTAACTTGTTAGAATGTTGTGATGATGTACGTGAATTGAATTGAAATAGAATACAATTTAAGATTATTTATTATCCTCCTCTGATTTCACTGACTGACTGACTGACTGGTGGTAATAATATCTTCCATGCATATCTCTGGTATTTGCATTGAGTCATTTCTGTTGCATGTGTTGTGTTGTGTGTAGACTCGATGAACCAGGCAGGATTCAGTAATCAACCTCTCTCTCTTTCCACCTACATAGATTACTTCTTAGAATTTTAACCCTCTCCCACCCTATTGTGTGGTTGTGTGTTAATGCATGCAGTGCAATGTAGTGCTGAGTTGGTTTTTCTAAATTACTTATCTTCTCGGGTGGGGTCAACCATTCTTACCTTAGCTAAATTCTTATGTTCCGACAATCTGATTACCCCCGATCTACTAGTTTGACCTATGTAGTTCACCTAACTGACAGTCATTGCAGGGTATTTTGTAAATTATATTATTTTGTTTAATTGGGTCAACCGACAGGGTCCTTTAACTTAACCTACGGAGCTTGTCCTACCTGAGTGAGTTTGTAGGTTTAAATGCCACCACCAGCCTAATTCCTGCTTTGTTATTAAGAATCCGACGTAGGGAGGGTCTCAGATGTCCCCTCTTTATATGGTATAACAGTAGATGCCTTATATTCTCTCTTATTTGTGTTTTCATTACTAGTTTCACAATCATTTTTCGATTTTGCTTTTGGCCTTTACTTTAATTGAAAATGGTTATCCTGACAAGTTTATCAAGAAACATATGACGAAGAAGGCCGAAAAGGACGACCCACTATCTGTAAACAAGAAGCCCCTTTATATACGGCTACAATTCAAGGGCGATATACCAAGCGAGTTAATTACAAAGAAATCAAGAAAATCAGTTCAAAAGACTTTTAATGCTGGTGAACTACACGTATTATTCTCTACAAGAACGATGGTGCTACTTCGAGTGAAAGATGAAGTACCTAGACTGGCCACTTCAAATTGAATTTATCAATTCCACTGCGCTTGTGGAGCGAGTTATGTTGGCCGTTGCTCTATGAACTTGATTTTCCGTGCTCGCTCGCTCGAGAACATCCCACACTATGGCTAAGTAAAGGTGTAGTTAAAACTATTAACAGCTCGATATTAGACCATCTGGTGCAAACCGGCCGGCCAGCCACAAAGCCAACGTAGGAGAATCCTTCTCTAAAGTATACCGGGTGCCTAACAAACTACCAAAATCGTCGAAGCACCGCATGCTCCAAACAGCAGGGGCTATTGCAATTCGCCTCAAACAACCAGTGCTCCGTATCCAAAAGAAACAAGTCGAGCTAGCCACTGCTACTGCCCTGGCCCTCAGTAGAGACTATAAACTCATGAATTTGTACTATTACCTTTCATAATTCTTCTGACATTCAGTTTATTTTATGTTGATGCTATTTAGCTGTAATTTATCAATATTATTGATTTGATGTTATTTAAACAGCAACATTAATTTTGTTCATAAGACTAATTAATTAATTCATTCATTATAATGTATATATAATTGTAGAGCCTGATGATGAATTTATCGAAAAGAGTTCTCTTTGTTCCGTGTGTATTCTTTACTGATCTTCCTAATGAATTTTATAGGATAGTTATTTGATACCAACCCTTTTTCTTCTGTTTTATTTCATCATTTAGCTCTTTTCCTGATATGATTATGAGTGGCAATAATAATAAATTGTGCTCGAAGTGTGTGATCGCATCAGTTAATATTACTTACTGTATAACACTACACACACACTGTGTAGGTGACAGTTTATCAAAACAGAAAATCTTATCCATAATGGAGTTATATTAAAGCTGTTGATCTCCAAGATGTTATGTCATCATGGCTAAAATGACTCCCTATAACCATAGCAAAATTTAGCATCAAAAATCATTCTTGTCACCACCACCACCACAACGGGTACACGCTAACATCAAGCCAACTTGGTTAAACAACAGAAATAGAGTAATAGTAATTCTTTTACAACAACACCAAATATAAATTAGTACATTAAAAGTATCCCGGAGGGGGGGGAAACGAATAACGCCCCCACCCCAGCCTTGATGGATGGTATAACAATATTTGCTTACTTACCTTCATCATGAAATTCCGTATCCATAGCAACTTTTTCTACATCGACTTTATTATCCTCATTAGTTTTCGACAACTGTTCTTTTTCTCCTTCTTCTGCAATAACATTTGAATGAACAACCACTGAATCTGTAGTTGTAGTTGTCGCCATATTAACAACTGGGGGAGTAGCAATTTTATTTGATTCAACAGTAGGATGCTTTTCTGATTTTTCTGACAACGCATCGTCTGACACCGGATATTCTTTTTCAAGTGAAGGTCTTGATAAACAAAAGACAAAGGTGACAACAACAAAATGATCAGTGGATATTTCCGTGTTAAATGTGGCACTTTATTCTGTCTATGTACCTACATATAAATCGTAAATCATACCAATTATTGGTTACAGGATTTCATCATGAGCTCGGTCAGTCGGTCCGTCTTCGACATAGAACTTTGTACATATGTGCGGCAGTTCAAGTCGCCACACTCCCTCCACTCCATGTAGCACACAAAGCAAGAGAAGAAAGTAGGAAAAATGCATAAAAGAGAGTCACAGTAAACACAGAGGTGTGAGACAAAGGTATAGTAATGACGAAGAACAAAACAGTTTCATTGGAAATCATAAGTCACAAGGAGTGGATGCATCTGCGCCACTGAGAACGATTTTGAGCCATATCACCAATTGTTTTCAACCATTGGTTTTTACCGACCCGAGGACCCCAACCAGGAAGTCTACATCTTCCTAAGTGGCTTAGACTAACTGTTGTGGATTTCATTGACTGGTGAGGCCATGTTTTCGTTTGGCCGCCACTAGCTCTCTCTTTTCCAGCCTGACCAATCTTATGTCAGCTAACATTGCCCATTGTCGAGTAAGGCGATGACTAGGCATACGTAGCACATGTCTAAACCGTCTCAGTCGATGTAATTTCACAGCCTCGTCTATTGATTTCCCCGCCTGGGCTGACATCAGTTGGTCAGAGAACCATTGGAAAACCTGGGAGTACTGCCAGACAGTTGTTTCGTCAGCCTAGTTTGAGACTCTGCTTCATCAGTACGCACCCACCGGGGATCGAACCCACGTCCTTCTGTAACCAGAAGGTGATGAAATCCTCCATGCAATCAAACTAAAAATCCCTACAAAACCAATATTTGAAAATTAATCTGATACTCACTAGCGACTGGTCTTATTCAGGCAGTTAACCTGGTTTTATAGTGGGAAGCCGTGACCATTAGGGTACAGCAAGTTGAAGATGAGACAGTAACTCACTCATCAAATAAGACATTGCGAAATGGTCAAGCTATGTTGTGCGTGAATTGGCAGAAATTAGAATTCAGGCAATGGCTGGCCATTGTATCGGGTCCCAGTGGTTCAATGGTATACGAGCCAGCTAGCTCGCCTTGTAACCAGAAGGTCTTGGCTTCGAACCCTGGCGGTGTGTTTGCCTACTGCTGTAGAGCCCCAAACTAGGACGGAAGAAACAGCTGTCCAGTACTCCCACGTTGATTTTCCAGTGGTTCTCCAACCGATGTCAGGTCATCAACATCATGAAATCCGGCAAAGTTAAACTTTAAGCACCACTAACTAACTACCATTAATCAGCGAATGACCTCGAACAACGCACCAATCACGTGAAGGAGGCATTCTTATGTATGGAATACATATATATATTTATGAAAAAAATTGCATAGAAACTGTATAAAAGTGTTACAGCGGATACCTTTCTCTTACATGTGATAAAAAAATAGCTCTCAGTTTTAGGTTGGAGTATCAACAGAGTAGTGTAATTCCATTGTGGGTAAAATTTATTTTGATAAATCCTTATAATATTACACAGTAATATTTTTTACTGAGCAATAAATGGTACTCAAAACGTCATCAGTAAATATGATTGCATGACACTCTGAAACATTATCAAAATAAATTTTTACTCACAATGGAATTATACCCTACCATAGTGCACAAGAGAAATTTAATCACATTCTATGCATGTGATTATTTAGGTCTTATAAACCTAACGATAACCCTAATCTTTGCTGAACCTAACCCTAACGTGAAAATATCCCTAAACTAACTATAATCTAACTCGAACCAAAGCCTCAGGATGGTCGGGGGTGGGTGTCTTGCGCTGCGGGTTGGCCACCCCTCCGAACACCTCTTCAAATGCTCCCATATGACCGGGCGTCTTACATAGCCTCTCCTGAGGAAGTCCTACTCACTGCCTTCACGTGGCGGAGGTGTTCTTTTTTTCGCCCAAGTGAGAGGGCGAAAGCGGATGCCCGGCGCTCTCCACCGGGTTGACTGTCCATTGGATGACAGTCTAGGGGAGATGGCTAAACCCTGATTCCAAACCTCAAACGACTGGCGTATGAAGCTCACTGGAGCTCACCGGCAAACGTATGGAAAAAGGGCTTGTTGGATGTCCTGGATGTCTGGCCCCATCCAAAAAGGCGTATGAACCGAACTCCGGTCACCGGCTGCCAATGGATAGTGGACTCCCTAACCCACTCCTACTGCCTTGTAGGTAACATTTGGTTGTGTAAAGGCTAGAGCTGCACTCTCAAACAAAAGGCCGAGCGATTCTGGGGACATCACTCGTACCAAATTCCCATGAAACTTCATGAACTCTCAACATCAACCGAATTCCAGTACTGGTCCAACAACGTCGCCTTCGGTGGTTTGGCCATGTTCTGCGCCGACCAAATGACGATCTGGTCAAATCAGTTCTAAATCCCTCGCCATTACCATCTTGGCGATGTCCCAGGGGTGGACAGCTGAAAACATGGCTTGGTACAGTCAAGGCTGATATGGAGTGCCTGGGACTACAAACCGTCTACGGACTCCATCTGTGGAACAAGAATTGGATAATCCTGTCGCAAAACCTTGCATCAGATCGCCGCGCCTGGGCAGCGATGATTCGAGATGTTCATGAAGCCGGCTCATCTTCCCGTAGGAGATAGCCGAAGTAAAGTAAAGTAAGTACTAACTTGCTCAGTGAGCCTCTCAAGGTCATTGGTGTGCGGTCGCACTCCACTGGTGGTAGTTAGTTAGTGTTGCTTAAAGTTTAACTAACTTGGCCTGAAATCCTCCATCCAATCATCAAACTAAAAATCCCTACAAAAACCAATACTTGAAAATAAATATTAGATGGTTGGAGGCAATCGGCCAAAGGAAGCCTTGCCTAGACCTAGGTTTCGTGCTAGTTGGCACTCAATCGTCAGCAAGGCGTATCTGCAACCTTGAAGGAACAGCTCATGTCCCTTCTGAGATTCGAACCCGCGTCACCCAGTGCTGCAGTCAGAGACGTTACCACTGAGCTATTCAGGCTCGCGATTGACCTCCTGTAGGACTGTAGTGGGTTTGCAATATGGCCACCATGCCACTAGGTGGCCAGCTCGCCATCATGGTGCACACATTGATTTGATGATGATATTAGATGATGGTTGGAGGCAATCGGCTAGACTAGACACATCACACTAGTTACTGACTAAGTGTCCAATCAAAGTATCCAATACAGCATAGTCCTACAGGAGGTCAATCGCGAGCTCAAATAGCTGGCTCAGTGGTAACGTCTCTGACTGCAGTATTCACTGGGTGACGCGGGTTCGAATCTCAGAAGGGACATGAGCTGTTCCTTCAATGTGGTTGTAGATACGCCTTGCTGACTGATGGGTGAGTGCCAACTAGCACGAAACCTAGGTCTAGCAAGGCTTCCTATGGCCGATTGCCTCCAACCATCTAATATCATCAAATCAATGTGTGCACCATGATGGCGAGCTACCTAGTGCATGGTGGCCACATTACAACCTGACTGACTGACTGATAGAATTCAGTCTGCACCAAAAAGAGAGGACTAGACGCATCACACTAGTTACACAATAGTGTCAAATCAAAATACTTGAAAATAAATATTAACAAAACATGCAGTTAAAATTCTGAAAAAATCACAATAAACTAACCGTGAGTGTTCTAAATTTCCCTGCTTCTTCTTCGTCTCCTGCTTCGTTAGACTATAATCAGGTTCCAAGTTGATATACCATCTAAAGGTTGTCCCAATCGAAATGATGTCCGTGGTTGTCTGTATGCAGTGAGGCGATATGAGTGAGTGAGTGGATATCACGTCTTTTGACAGCTAGCTTATGTTTGTAGATACGAAGACGAAGAGGATTAGGGTCCACTTTGGCCAATGTAGTGTTTTTCACAGTTGTTACAATTTATTTTGTAGATGATGTTGGTTTTATCTTCTTTCGTTGTTGAGTCTGTCTTTTGGTTAAAACAGAGCCAGCTGAGTGAAGTGATTTTGTTGGTTTGTGTCTGTGTGATGTCAATTCCTAAAGGTTTGAAGAGTGTTGCAGTGATTTCTGAGATGTCGTTTATATATGGTTGGGCGATTTTCTTTTTGCTTTCCTTGGTGGCTTTTGGTTTGGTAGGTTGGCTTGGGGCTATATGTCTTTTGATAAAATTCTGTGGAATCCACATGACATCCACTCCCTCACTCATATCACCTCAATGCATGCAGAAAACCACGGACATCAATTCGACTGGGACAACCAAACCAACGTTCAAATATTAGACAGACAGAGGAAACAACACCAAGAATGCTAGCCAGAGAATTTTTAGAAGCCTACCTGGTATTTCAGTGAATCATCAATCAATAGACACATCGAGATAGACAAAATTTATCAACCGATAAGAAGGAAACCTCACACACAAAGGGTCAAAGTTCAAGTCAAAGAAACAATCAGTTCCAATATCGATACAAGTAGCCTAGAAGGTGTGAAAACACACAAAAGCAACCCATCACGTCCAACGTCAACGACCAGGAGAGATGACTGATAATTTCGTGGAGAAATCTAAAAACTCACTTCAATTGAAATTGAAGTATGCGCTGATGATGTCGCCTAGTAGGACGATGGAAGCTTCGCAAATTAACTATCCAGCCAGTTCAGAGAAGACAACCATATCAAAATCATCCACCTGAGCTAAAAATCTTCTCCATCATATATATGTAAGCTTAACGAAAAACTAACAATAAGAGAAAAGACCTGGGGTTCTAGTAGGAAGCCGTGACCAGTAGGGTACAGCAAGTTGAAGATGAGGCAGTAACTGACTCATCGAAGAAGACATTGCGAAATGGTCACGCTATGTTGTGCGTGAATTGGCAGAACTTAGAATTCATGCAATGGCTAGCCATTGGATCGGGTCCCAGTGGCTTAATGGTCTATAGAGCTCGCTAGTCTTGTAACCAGAAGGTCCTGGGTTCGAACTCTGGCGGTGTGTGTGCATACTGCTGAAGAGTCCCAAACTAGGATGGAGGAAACAGCTGTCCAGTACTCCCACGTGGGTTTTCCAGTGGTTCTCCAACCGATGTCAGGTCATCATGATGAAATCCTCCATCCAATCATCAAACTAAAAATCCCTACAAAAACCAATACTTGAAAATAAAATTTTTTTTAAAAAAAGCATGCAGTTAAAATTCTGAAAAAAGTCACAATAAACTAACCGTGAGTGTTCTAAATTTTCCTGCTTTTTCTTCTTCGGTAGACTAAAATCAGGTTCCAAGTTGATATACCATCTAAAGGCATAACAACCGACAAGTAGTAAACCGACAGACAGTGTTGCAAACAAGTTATCATTGAAGAAGCTTGACGATGAGCCTCCAGAACTTCTTTGAGAACTTTTAAAACGATGCGACGGTAAAAAATTTCGATTAAAAAATGCTTGTGAATGAAAAACTGCCTGTCGCTGTTGCTGTTGCTTTTGTTTATGATGATGATGATCATTTTCTTGTCTGGAGTTAGTTAGAACAGGACCAGCATAAAATCGAGAAGCAGTCGAAAAGGGATTTCTTGATGTTGAACAGACTTCATGACTTAGAAAACAACAATTTCGTAAGTACGATGTTGATGGTAATGATGACGGAACTCTTCTTCTCAATAGCAAGTTCATGGTTGTTGTTGTTGTTTTTTCTGCTAAAGACAAAGATAACCCAAAGTGGGGTGTTATAAATCACAATTTATAAAAAGTTATTAAATGCAAAAAATTATAAGTTCCCAGACCGTAGTGGGGGGGGGGTTACGAATATTATTACTATTATTATTATTGTATCCTTTAATTCCTACAGGAACATAGGGCTTCAGCCGTGCGTCTCCATTGCGTTCGGTTCTCTGCTAGAGTCTTCACCTGGCTCCAACTCTGTCCACACGCTTTCATCTCCTCTTCACATGACCTCCTCCAAGTCACCCTTGCACTGACGACCAACTTGCCGCTTCCCTTTCGGGTTCCACTCGAGCAATGGCTTGTCTAGTGATGTCACTTGATGGTTTCCTAAGAGTATGGCCAGCCAATCCATCTCCATTTCTTCCTGCCTATTTGTTTCACAATCGGTTCCTGCTGTGTTGGTTCGCTCATTGCCAGAGATCCCTGTTGCTGATCTTTTCTCGCCAGCCATCTGATCTTGAGTATTGAGCGAAGACAGCTGTTAATGAAGGTCTGTAGTTTGTTTGAGATGCTCTTTATGACGCGCTGACCAAGTCTCTGATCCGTATAGCAAGTAGCACTGACTTCAAATTGGAGTTGAAAATCCGGATCTTATTTTTGATGATGAGTGTTGTTGACCTCCACACAGACTTGAGTGTAGTGATAGCTTGTCTTGCTTTCTTGATGATCCTTGCTTTGATATCCTCATCAGTTCCGTCCGCCTGTAGTTGAAACGATGCTTCCCAGGTAGGTAAAAGAGGTTGTTTCTTTCAGGTTCCTTCCATTTATGCTGGCTGATTGTTGTCTGTTGTTGTTGTTGCTGTTGGTGGTGTTTCCCAGGAATCTTCATCACCTCTGTTTTCTCTATGTTCACCTCACCTGAAGTCCTATCTTTGATGCTTCTTCTGCTAACTTGTTGCTTTTCGCTTGCATGTCTTCCAGTTTGTGGGAAATCAGACATATAATTTGACCGCCGCAATCAAATTGTGTCTACCAATTTACATGTTGTACGTGCCAAAAAGCACATACATCGGAAGAACAGAGAGAGAGAAGGGTTATTGTCCGCATTTCTGAACACATACCAAAAAGAACCTGAGACTGAAAGGTCCACAAGTATTAAACAGTGCAATTGCGCGTCATCTATTAGACACACTGGTCATAATGTAGACAACTTGAAGTCATTCAAAATAATCAACAAGCAAAAGAAACCTAACTTGCTATACGCTTTGCTGAAGCAATTGCTATCACAAACGACTTAAACCAAATCTATGTGTACGCAGAAAGAGACAGTGGTGAATCTTGCACTGCCCTGGTGACAACAAAAAAAAAATATACAACACTTGTTTTTGTTTCCAAGCCTAATTGTCTAATTATTCTATAAATATTTATAAACTGTCAAATATTGATCACAGTTCATTTGAATTATTCTATAAATAGTCAGTGTGTCTGTAACTCTTAATTAGTTAAATCATTCCGGACTAATGTTACTTTTACACTTCCTACCAACCAGCTATACTCCTTGTGATCGTGGAAAAGTATGTTCAAATCTTCACAATGTAATGTAATTCATATTTTTTATCGTTCAGGTTGTAACCAGTTGAGAAGAATCCTCGAAATAATAATAAAAGATGAGCTCATATTATCCTCTGGTACAATTGTTGTTGTTCTTGCTTTGTTCAAGTTTATTAATGGGAAGAGAATTGCATGAAGTCATTGAGTAACTGAGTAACTTCCTAGGAGTTGGATTTGTCTCTCATATTTGAGATCACGGATTGATGTCACTTAGAGAACCGTTGAAAATCAAAGAAATGTTGGAAATATTTGTTTCGCCCTAGATCGACGCTCTTCATCAGTACTTACCTTCACCGGGATTTGAACCCTCCCCTCAACCTTCCAGTTGTTACAAGGCGAGTTCAAAGACCATACAGCTAGCTTACTGATAGGGAGTGAAGTGATAGAACATGTTGACCACTTCACCTATTTGGGAAGTTGTATCAGCACCAACGGATTGATTGGTGACGAAATCTCAGCACGGATCCAAAAAGCTCGGGCTGCTTTCGCTAACTTACACCACACTTTCTGGCGTAGGCGTGACATCCAGCTATCAACCAAGGGACGTGTGTACTGCTCAGCAGTTCGCTCCGTCCTTCTCTATGGCTGACTCTGAAACATGGCCAATACGAGTTGAAGACATGAAAAGGTTGACTGTTTTTGATCATAGATGTCTACGATCTCTTTCTCACGTTAGGTGGTATAATAAGGTAAGTAATGTTGACGTTAGGCGTAGAGTGTTGGGCAAAGAGGGGAAATCAATCGAAGAGGCTATAAAGTTACATAGATTGAGATGGCTAGGTGACGTGGTGCGCATGCCTAACCATCGCCTCCCCCTCCCGACGGGCATTACTAGCTGATATAGGTGCAGGTTGGAAAAGAGTAAGTGGTGCCATGCCAAACAGAAACATGGCCTCATCAATCCATGAAATCCTTGACAGTTAAACTGAGTCAGGTAGGGAGGGAGATGCAGACTTCCGGGTTGGGGCCCGCCCTCGGGACTCTAAGAATCAATGGCTGGAGACAGACAATAGGTGACATGGCTCAAAATCGTTGTCAATGGCTTACGCAGATGTATTCAGTCTCTTGTGTAATTTTCATATTCCTTTCTACCATTACTCATTCTGTTTCACTCTTATACTTGTCAAAACTCTATTGATTCTCTTCACTCATCCATCTTCTTGTCTACCTTTGTGTGGTATTTGGAACATGGCAACTCGAACTGCTGCACTTCGGTGGCAAGTTCTATGTTGAATCCAGCCAGCCAGCCATACAGCTATTGGAACTGGATTCAATCGCCCATGGATTCCACCCCCCCCCTTCCAGTTCTTGATTTTATCCCTTTCACCAACCATTGTGATCGGCGAATATTTGACCTCACACACACACACACCACCTGGTGAGCCCCCTCCCCACTGGTCACGATTTCTCCCTAAAAACGGCCGACAACTTCGTCCTATTACCAGCCAGTTACCAGCGAGTATTATTGACTGATGGTTGTCATTAAAAAATCACATATTGATGGACTGTCTCTCCACCCCCACACACACCCAGTGACTGAATGGTCTGTCTGTGAGCTCGTCTTGTGTAACCCAGAGGTCCTGTGTTTCTAAACCCCTGCACATTGGTAGTAGCACAGTGGTTAGGACTCTCGCCGACCATGCGCGCACATGGTCCGGGGTTCGATCCCCTGCCGACGACGCACACCCGATATCTATGGTCGGCCTGCAAAATTTCGGCTACCGATAGATATCACACAGGCTGAAAATTCCATACCTGTACCAAAAAAAAGGGTGTGGAATCAAGCTGTAATCAAAAAAATAAATAAATAAAAATTATAAATAATTTTAAAATAATAATAGAAGTCCCAGCGAGTGTTTAAGGAAAGCAGAAAATCAAAACATAAGATCTGTTTTCTGAACGTTTCGCTGTGTAAGCTGCCACAGCCAGCTAAGATTTATTCGAATTTTTATTAATCATCAAAATATATTGTCAACAATTTTTTTTACATAAATTGAAGTAAGTCAGTTTATTTGAAGGTCTCTCGTCGATAGACATTTGTGTACCGCATAGAAATATGTAAGCAGTCATCAATCATATATCATCTGTGTAATGACTCTAATGTCAAATTGCATGGAATATTTCATCATGAACTGACATCAGTTAGAGAACTACTGGAAAACTAGCCACCAGGAGTACTGGACAGCTGTTTCCTCCGTCCTAGTTTGGGGCTCTTCAGCAGTATGCACCCACCACAACGGGTTCCAACCCAGGACCTTCTGGTTACAAGCCAAGCGAGCGAGCTTGTAGACCATTTAGCCACTGGGACCTGATCCAATGGTCCTTGCGATCATTTCGCAATGTCTTCTTCAATGAGTGAGTTACTGCCTCATCTTCAACCTGTTGAAGAGTCCCAAACTAGGACGGAGGAAACAGCTGTCCAGTACTCCCAGGTTGGTTTTCCAGTGGTTCTCTAACCAACTGATGTCAGCTCATCATGATGAAATCCTTCATGCAATCAAACAAAATCCCTGCAAAAAATCAATACTTCAAAAATAATGTCAAATTGTTATTGTCTATATGTTTTCTATAGTTGGTTTGTAAGGACTAGTTCTGTATGAGTGTGTGTGTGTGAGAGTGAGTGTATCTTATTTGTCATACGGAAAGGGACGTCAATTCACATGTGATAAACATGATAATGCATTTTTTTATAAGGTCATGGAGGTTCGTAGAGGATTTTGTTGCTGTTTTTTCATTTGTCTTGCTTCATTAGAGTTTGCCATATTTATAGGTGGTGATAAGTCTATCCCTTCTCTCCTTCCTATTTTTACTGCATTCGATGTGGCTAAAATGTGTAAGGCTTCAGAGATGTCAACCTTTCTTTATGTGTGTTGAATGAAATCCTCTTCTAAGAAACTAAAGTTTACCATATACAGAAAGCCGACACATTCCAACAAGTATTTGAATTTCCAATCACATCATCCATCCAATAGGAATGAAAGTTTCAGTAGCTTGAAATCTCCTCATAACAGAGCTAGAAACATTATAACAGATAATGACGATGATATGGAGAACGAGATATCCGATATAAAACAGATTTTGATTGGAAATGGTTATCCTAAAAAGGAGCAGAGGGGAAAACATGAAAAAATTGAAAAATCTTGGCTACCGACAGATGACAGCCATCCCATATCGAAAGGCCACACACAGCTGAACAACTTCAAAGACAATTTGCTTCATATAATATTAAAGTCCATGTCAAACCTTCTAATTCTCTGGAGAAGACATTGGTGCACGTCAAAGATATGGTTCCCAAAATGTCACAAAGTAATTGTGTCTATAGGATTAAAGTGTTCAGAATTTGAAGCTTGCTATATATTGGGGAGAACAGTATACCGGTGAAGGTCACAGTGAATGAACATAGACTATGCACAGAACGTCCCCGCCTAGAAATGAAGTAGAATTAAAAAGTCTGGCAAAAAGATCGGCTATCGCAATGCATGCTATCATCTATGGACAGTGGACATAAGATTGATTTCGACAATGTCGAAATTCTTGGAAGAGGATTTCATTCAACACACATAAAGAAAGGTTGACATCTCTGAAGCCTTACACATTTTAACCACATCGAATGCAGTAAAAATAGGAAGGAGAGAAGGGATAGACTTATCACCACCTATATATATGGCAAACTCTAATGAAGCAAGACAGATGAAAAAACAACAACAAAAACCTCTACGAACCTCCATGACCTTATAAAAAATGTATTATCATGTTTATCACATGTGAATTGACGTCCCGTTCCATATGACAAATAACATACACTCACACACACACACTCATACAAAACTAGTCCTTACAAACCAACTATAGAAAACATATACACAATAACAATTTGACATTATTTTTCAAGTATTGATTTTTTGCAGGGATTTTGTTTGATTGCATGGAGGATTTCATCATGAGCTGACATCAGTTAGAGAACCACTGGAAAACTAACCAGGGAGTACTGGACAGCTGTTTCCTCCGTCCTAGTTTGGGACTCTTCATCAGGTTGAAGATGAGGCAGTAACTCACTCATCGAAGAAGACATTGCGAAATGATCGCAAGGACCATTGGATCAGGTCCCAGTGGCTCAATGGTCTACAAGCTCGCTCGCTTGGCTTGTAACCAGAAGGTCCTGGGTTCGAACCCGTTGTGGTGGGTGCATACTGATGAAGAGTCCCAAACTAGGACGGAGGAAACAGCTGTCCAGTACTCCTTGTGGCTGGTTTTCCAGTGGTTCTCTAACTGATGTCAGCTCATGAGATGAAATCCTTCATGCAATTTGACATTAGTCATTACACAGATGATATATGATTGATGACTGCTTACATATTTCTATGCGGTACACAAATGTCTATCGACGAGAGACCTTCAAATAAACTGACTTACTTCAATTTATGTAAAAAAAATTGTTGACTATATATATTTTGATGATTAATAAAAAATCCGAATAAATCTGCTGTTGAAGAAGGTGACTGTGGCAGCTTACACAGCGAAACGTTCAGAAAACACAGATCTTATGTTTTGATTTTCTGCTTTCCTTAATAAACACTCGCTGGGATTAATTTAAAAAATAATTTTTTATTAAATGAAAAGTTTAAAATTTAGTGATTAACACATTTATTCTCTATATAATACACACTATATGTTATTACTACATTTTTATTGTTATTATTATTATCATTATTATTCGCGCCTAGGCACTTGATCTATGCCATGAATGCGATCATAAATAATCCATGCCAATGGCAGAACAGTTACACAATAGCCAATAATTGCAACAGTATTTATGTTCGACCCGGGTGGACCACGTCGATATGGATTGGCAATTTGTGAAGAATTTTTCCTCAATACATTTTTATTATTTGCTAAACAACATCTGAGTATTCTATTGCGAGCGAACAACGACTGCATGGCGTAAAACCTACAAAAAAAATGAAGTGAAGTGATTAGTAGGACAGGTAAACAAAGTACTTACTTTTACTTTACTTCGGCTATCTTCTACGGGAGGATCAGCCGACTTCATGAACATCTCGAGTAAGAGAGTTCATGAAGTTTCATGGGAATTTCGTACGAGTGATGTCCCCAGAATCGCTCGGCCTTTTGTTTGAGAGTGCAGCTCTAGCCTTTACACAACCAAGTGTGACCTACAAGGCAGTAGGAGTGGAGTAGGGAGTCCACTATCCATTGGAAGCCGGTGACCGGAGTTCGGTTCATACGCCATTTTGAATGGGGCCAGACATCCAGGACATCCAACAAGCCCTTTGTCCATACGTCTGCCGGTGAGCTCCAGTGAGCTTCATACGCCAGTCGTTGGAGGTTTGTAATCAGGGTTTAGCCATCTCCCCTAGACTGTCATCCAATGGACAGTCAACCCGGTGAAGAGTGCCGGGCATCGGCTTTCGCCCTCTCACTTTGGTGAAAAACACCTCCGCCACGTGAAGGCAGTGAGTAGGACTTCCTCAGGAGAGGCTATGTAAGACGCCCGGTCATATGGGAGCATTTGAAGAGGTGTGCGGAGGGGTGGCCAACCCGCAGCGCAAGGCACCCACCCCCGACCATCCTGAGGCTGAACAAAGTTAGAGCGAGAGAAAGCAAAAAAAGACAGTAGAGCACGTTGACCACTTCACACACTTATTCGGGAAGTTGCATCAGCCAGTGCCAACGGGTGGCAACGGGTTGATCTCTGACGAAATCTCATTTGGGTAAGGATACAGAGGGTTGGTTGGTTTCGCATACACGCCCGCCAGTTTACGCCGTCTCTGGCTTAGTAGACGTGATATCCGGCTAGTTTTCAATAATAATAGTAATAATAATAATAATAATAATTACCTTTATTCCAAAACAGTAGATGTGATACAGAATGGAATTCTCAGCATTTTTACTACAGTATTGCATCCAGTTAGTACATTATCAATAAGTAGAATTCTACATAGATTAAGGAAATCTCAGTTCATTATTACAACAACAAATTAGCATGTCGGTAGCAAAGCCAAAGCTGAACAGTGCTTGAAGGTGTTAGAAAAGTAGGTGCTGTCATATTTACTGGCGTAAGCGAGAGAAAGAAACAAAGCAGCACATAATGGAAAAAAGAGAAAAAAAAGAGAGAGAGAAAAGGAAAAGAAAGAAAATGTTGTACCTACCAAATGATATGAGTTGGAAAGACGAGATCCAGTTGTACTACTGACTACTTAATGAATTACAGATGTCACGTCTAATGCTTTCTTTATCACACAGAACACAAGCTAAGTAGGGTATGGTTGAGTTTTTGTACTTGCTGGTGAGAGCACATATAGTTTTCTATATAGGCTTCTGGTTTTACCTGATGAGATACAAGGGGAGAATTGTGAGTGAAGAGGGTGGTGTGAGTTAGATAGAATGGATTTAGCCCATTTTTCACATGAGTCCATATGCCTGCCTGTCGACCAGAATATTAACAAGCTGGTTAAGTGGCACATTGCTTACCCTGCTGACAACATAATCAAAGGGCGTGTGTACTACTGCTCAGCAGTCCGCTCTGTTCTCCTTTATGGCTGGCTATGAGATATGGCTATTGAGAGTGGAAGACATGAAAAGGCCGTCTAGCCAGCTGTCTTCGATCATAGGTGTCTGCGTTCTATCTCCCGTGTGAAGTGATAATAATAAGGTGAGTAATATTGAGGTTAGGGATTGGTCGAGTGCTAGGTAGGCGGGAGGGGAAATCAATCGACGAGGCTGTGAAATTACATCGACTGAGATGGTTAGGACATGTGTTACGTATGCATCCCCTAGCCATCGCCTTCCTCAACAATGGGCAATGTTAGCTCATGTTGAATCAGGGGCGGTCAAACCAAAACATGGCTTCATCAGTCAATGAAATCCACAACAGTTAGTTTAAGCCAACTAGCCACTTCTTGACTGGTTGTAGTCCTCGGGACGGTTGAAACCAATGAAGGCTGGAAACAATTGGTGATATGGCTGGCTCAAACTCATCGTTCTCAATGGCTGGCTGGTGCAGATGCATCCACTCCTTGTGACTTACTTATAATTTCCAATGAAACTATATTGTTCTTCGTTATTACTATTCCTTTGTCTCACCACACCTCTGTGTTTACTGTCTCTCTATTATGCATTTCTCTTGGAGTGTGGCGACTTGAACTGCCGCACATCGGTGCAAAGTGGTTCTATGTCGAAAACAGACAGACAGGCAGACAGACAGACAAACAAAAGAATAGAAAGTAAAAAATTAAGCCATTTTGGACAATTTTTATTTATTTATATTTTCAATGTACAAACAACATTTAAGAATTGAAAAGTACTGCACATGCCATTCCAAGGCAACAGACTGCAACATATGGGCTTTTACGTTCACCTAGAAAATGTATACAATGAGTAATTGAAAGAGAATACTGACCAATTCTTGCACATTTCCAAAACAATCCTAAAAGTCTTGAATAAATTATTGTTTTATCTCATAAAATACAAAAAACACACAACATACCCATGCTTTCGTGAATCCAGAAGAGCTGGCCAAAAGTGTCTAATATAAGCACAAGTGCATATCAGCAAGAGAATGACACTTAATAGGCTTTGAAAATTGAATAGCGCTGACTAGTTGAATTTTTTGGAATTATTATTAGTAGGATAATATAATGGGGGAAGAAATGTGATTACCATGTGTTTTTTTTGTGAGAGAAGTTCAAAATCCAACACAAATATTACTACTCTGGAGACGACACACTGGAAATACTAAAGGTAAGAACACATAACATATATACACATACAAAACTTTAAATTATGTACTAAGATTATAGGGTATATAAATAAAATAAACTAGCGCATTCCATTATGGGCAAATTTTGTTTTGATAAAGTCTCAAAGTGGTGTTATACAGTAATGTTTACTGATAACCACGTTTCGAGCACAATTTCTTGCCACTCATAATCATATCAAGGTAATCACACGACTTCATAAATTCATTTATATAGTTCCGTTGTTTTTCACTTGATTTGACTGATAGTAATATTTCCCATATTTCGGGTATGAGTGATGATTCATTCCTATTGCATGTGTTGGGTGTAGACTCGATGAACCAGGCAGGATTCAGTAATCAACCTCTCTCTCCACCTACCTAGATTACTTTTTAGAATTTTAACCCTCTCCCTCCTACCATGCTATCGTGTGGTTGTGTGCTAATTCATGCATGCAGTGGAATGTAGTAGTGAGCTTTCTTTTTGAATTACTTATCTTCTCGAGTGAGGTCTACCGTTCTTACCTTAGCTAAATTCTTATGTTCCGACAATGTGATTACCCTCGATCTACTATTTTGACCTATATAGTTGACGTCACAGTCATTGCAGGGTATTTTGTAAATTATATTATTTTGTCGAATTGGGTCAACTGGGTCCTTTAACCTACAGAGCTTGCCGAACCTGAGTGAGTTTGTAGGTTTAAATGCCACCCTAATTCTTGCTTTATTTAGAATCCTACGTAGGGTCTCAGATGTCCCCTCTTTATATGGTATAACTGTAGATAACTTATATTCTCTCTTAATTATGTTATCACTGCTAGTTTCACAATTCTTTTTATTTTTATTTTGGCCTTTTTCAATCTTCCTAATGAATTTTAAAGGATAGTTATTTAACACCAACGCCTCTTCTATCTGTTCTATTTCATCATTTAGGTCTTTTTTTGTGCTACTTAGTGCCATTGGTCGGTTTGTTAAACACTTAACTAAGCCTGCCTTAACAGTTAACGGATGAGATGAATTAAAGTCTATATATATATATATATATATATATATATATATATATATATATAACACTGTGAGACTTTATCAAAACAAAATTTACCCATAATGGAATTACACGCTACCACAGTGCACAAGTTTTATTCTTATATCAATGAAACTAGCGCATCAACACACATTTAAATTCGTACCACTTAGGTGAGAGTCCGTGAAACGAGAAAAGATTTTAGGAATCAAACATAGTTTGGTTTGTAAGGGTTAGTTTTGTTTCTTGCGAGTTGATCACCGATTGATATCAGTTAGAGAACCATTGAAAACCAGCCACAGGGAGTACTGCCAGACAGTTACTAGTGTCCAATCAAAATACCCACTACAGTCCTACAGGAGATCAATCGCCAGCCAGCCTGAATAGCTCAGTGGTAACATCTCTGACTGCAGTGCTCACTGGGTGACGCGGGTTCGAATCTCAGAAGGGACATGAGTTCCTTCAAGGTTGCAGATACGCCTTGCTGATGAGTGCCAACTAGCACGAAACCTATGTCAAGGCAAGGCTTCCTATGGCCGATTGCCTCCAACTATCTAATATCATGAAAGCTGTTTCATCAGACTAGTTTGGAAATCATCGGAAGTACGCACCCATCACAGGCGGTTCGAACCCAGGACCTTCTGATTACAAGGCCAGCAAGCTAGCTCGTATACCATTCAGCCACTCACCGGGACCCCATTCAATGGCCAGTCAGTGCATGAATTCTAACTTCTAGCGATTCATGATTTAGCGCAACCTCAACCATTGTCGTAGGTAGGACATCCATCCTCACACCTGACACCTCACTGGTCACGACTTCTCACTGGAACTGACTCCAGTAAACTCCATCCTATAGCAAGTCACTAGCGAGCATCAGATTAATATTCTATAGTTTGGTTTGTAAGGGTTAGTTTTGTTTTCTACGAGTTGATCACGGATTGATATCCCAAACTGGGATGAAACAGCTGTCCAGTACTCCCTGGTTTTCAATGGTTCTCTAAGTGATATTAATTCGTGATTAACTCGTAAAAAACAAAACTAACCCTTACAAACCAAACTATTTTTTTTATTCCTTCACGTTCCCAGTGGAACATAGGGCTTCAAGCTAGAGGCTTGAAGTTTCTGTAGCAGTGTTTATTTTTACAGGATGGGGTTGCTAGCCTCATGCCCAACCTTTCCTCTTCACCGGCTTTTAGTTCTGGCTTAGCGAGGTAAGGCAGTGAGCCGGCCGGGGATCGAACCCCGGACCATGTGCATGGTCGGCGAGCGTCCTAACCGCTATGCCACCGACGCACTCAAACCAAACTATAGAAAATAGTTAAATAGGTCAAGTAGTCAGTCCATTCTAGGCGAAGGTTGAAGTCTATTGTTTTGAGTGTACACACACTTTAGGCTGCATGTGATTAATCCCCGAAGAGTGCTTCCATCACCTTCAGTAACCTTGAATTAGAGTTATGTGGTGAAATAACCGTGAAAGTCATTAATATTGATTTTGTGACCTGGCATTAATAAGTGTTTTGCAATGGATGATTGTGGATTTCTATTCGAATTAACTGGATTTGGATTTACTCAAATTGAATAATAAACTCGGTTTCCCCGATAGTACAATGACCAGGAGAGATGATGGAACGATTCAGCCATCTATTTTTCGTAAACATATATGGACTGGACAATATCTACATTTCACCAGTTTTGTTCCAATCTAGTATGAAAGTTCCCTAGTGAAATGTTTGTTCTCAAGGGCCCGAAAAATATGCACGAGTGACATATTGATGGATGAGCTACGACATATACATTCAGTTTTATTAGCTAATGGTTATCCAGAAAACTTTATCACTTGTCACAGCAAGGATAGGCCACTTCCTGTAAAGACAGCTTCTGTATTAAGAAAAGCTATCTTTATTAACCTGCCATTTAAGGGTGACCAGATTATGCAGTTGACAACTAGCTCAAAGACGTCGGTCAGCCATCAAACCCACATTCTACGCCATCGCATCTCTTTTCCTCACATGCCGAACATTTTCGATCCCCGTACCTACGATTAAAGGACGGGATTCCGTGGATTCTACTTCAAATTGTACCCACAAGTCCACCTGCAGCTGCGGTGACACCTATGTAGGTAGAACCAATAGAATGTTCCAATGTCGTGGTTGAAAAGAGCATGTTCCAAAATGGTTACTAAATCATATAGAAAATCCCACCAATGAGATTAATCTTAATAGAAATCCAGCATCATCCATTGCAAAACACTTATTAATGCCAGGTCACAAAATCAATATTAAATTGGTGACGTGGCTTTAGGAGACTATCGATGGTGGTTTTTTTGGCTTCCGTCGTTTTCAGTGCACACAGAGTGAAGAGGAAGTGAAGAGCCATCGAGTAGAGGAGTTGCACTAGTAGAAGGAAGTCAAGATAATAGAGATGAAGATGAAGACAAAGATGAGTGAGGATTAGAGAGGTTTCGTGTGCACTTCGCATTGTGAGGGCGGATGTTACTTCCCGGCTACCCACACCGTGGAAGTTGGTTGCGTGACCGCAGAGCCCAGGGGACAACTGCTTGAGACCGGTCACACACGGCCTGTTTTTGTTTGTTGTTTTTTATTTGGTGTGTCTCAGTAGCGTATTTATCACTTCTGCCCTGTGACACGGCAGCAGAAAGCGCGGTCGTTGTTAATCCGGGCCCCGACCGATCCGGCATGATATTTTGTGATTTATTTGAAGTCATAGGGTTGGATTGGGTAACTGCTTTTAGTCTAAATGCTATCCAAACAACCTTTCTGACATGGTAGGACCTGCAGGAACATAAGTTCCAGCCAGTATAGCTTGTTATGAAATATCAATCAATATTCATGACTGTTTCACAATTATTTCACCACATAACTCGAATTCAAGGTCGGTTATTGAAGGTGATGGAAGCACTCTTCGGGGATTAATCACATACAGGCTAAACTGTGTGTACAGTCAAAACAATAGACTACCATGGGCTGACTACTTGACCTATTTAAATACGATTAGTCAATAGCATAGTATGTACTTTTGTTTTTTATATGACTGAGTAACTGTCATGCGTTTTATTTTATTTTGTTATTGTTAACCGACCATGTTAGTTGTGTAAAGCGGTTGTAGTGAAACTAAGAAATGACGATATCATCTCGCGGCGAAATTTGTCTTCTAAATGCCTTATTCAAATTTATAAAAAAGGGACTAATTGTTTTAACATTTAATAATTACCTGCTTGTCAACAATTTCGCTATCACATTCTAACTACATGCGGTCTTTTTGGCTTTAGCACTCGACTTATGGTCGATCGGTTCACGGTTTGAGTCCCGTTCTACTTTATTCTGGATAGGCAACTGGGTAATATATCTTGATTTGACACTAGTAACTAGTGTGATGCGTCTAGTCTTCTCTTTGGTGCAGACTGAATTCTATCAGTCAGGTTGTAATGTGGCCACCATTCTAGGTAGCTCGCCATCACGGTGTACATTGTTTGTGATGATATTAGATGGTTGGAGGCAATCAGCAGGTGGCCACATTACAACCTGACTGATAGAATTCAGTCTGCACCAAAGACAGGACTAGACGCATCACACTAGTTACTAGTGTCAAAACAAAATATCCACTACAGTCCTACAGGAGGTCAATCGCGAGCCCGAATACCTCAGTGGTAACGTCTCTGACTGCAGTGCTCACTGGGTGATGCGGGCTCGAATCTCAGAAGGGACATGAGTTCCTTCAAGGTTGCAGATACGCCCTGCTGACGAGTGCCAACTAACACGAAACCTAGGTCCAAGGCTTCCTTTGGCCGATTGCCTCCAACCATCTAATATTATCACAAACAATGGGTAATATATCACCACCTCATACACACAATGAGTGTCGCTCACAGTCTGATATAACATGAATAATCTCTTCTCAACTGAGTTCAAACAACGTCTGAGTTTTATTCAGCATGGTCTTTAGAAGCTACTAACA